CGATATTAGAGGAAAATTCATACTGAGAACGCCCGCGGGCAGTCTGCATAAATACCGGATCCTTAAAGGAAAAAACTCACAAAGAGGGAAAAGGAAAACCCTTATAACACTCGTCCGTTATGGCCATAAATGGAGGCAATTACCAACACTCCTAACCGTATTTAGCCGAACCAGTCCGGTCCGAAATTGAAGTAAAATAAACAAAATTAATATGCTGCCACCCGTTGGGCGTTGCGATGGCACGTCTAAACACAATGGACCGCCCGCCGAGGAATTCAGCACATGTTTGTGGGCTGAGTGGGCAGATTTCGACCAGGTCGTTTGCTGATATGGGTACATCATATGATAGTATGTACTGCATGTAGGTGCTGTGGGGCCACAGGGTTATATGTATATTCGCCGCTTATTATTTTGCAATTGGTGCTCGGACACCAGCAATGCGCACTCACTCACTTAATTGTTCTGCATGTGTTTGTAAAGCAACGGGCAAACAATTCGGAAACGAGATCCGGCCATCAAAGCGACGTCCTTCAAGTGACTTTCCAGGACTATGTTCAGCTAGCAACTGCCCTCGTTATGAAGTGCTGTCCATGATGCATTGTCCTAGCTGGCTTTATGAATATTTTATTTCTTTTTGAAATTTAAACTTAAAGTTCTAAAAATAGCAAACATCTTGACTTTAAAGTAAGTCTCTTTAAAATCCTGAACCAGGAAAAGACGACATTTGAAAGCTCTCAAACCATTTCCCTTTTTAAAGGCCATAAAAACACATAAAATAGCTAAGAAAAAGTCTAAGTTGACATCACTGACTGCCATAGCCATTGGCACTTGTCTGGCCATTCATTAAGCCTCGACAACATGGCGTTTCAGAAGCATAAAACTAAATATTGCCGAGCATCTCTCCAAATGTCAACAGGGCTGCCCCCATAACGAGTCCAAAAGGATCAGGGTTCAGGGATCTGGATCGAGTCTGCCCACATATCGGCGCACCGCAATCCCATACACAAACACCGAATCTCCGTCCGTCAGTGCTTAATTAAATCTCCTCGGACAAGTTTATTTCACTTTTTCACCCTACCTCCGGCGGGCTGTCAAATTAGGGCCAAGTCGTGTGGCCAACTCCCACCGAAAAAGGGGCAGCGGCTGTTGCACAACTTTGTGGCTCCGTCCCGGGGTAAAACTAATTTCGGCTAGATGATGTCAAGTCATTAAGTTATATTTGGTCAGCTGGGAGAAGTGGCGAATGCTCCAGAAATAGTTGACTTTGAGCTGGCAATGATAGTGGTTGAAGCTGAAGTGAAGGCCCAAGGGGTCAAAGGAGCAAAGTTCACTGAGCCCGTTAGCAGGACTTGTTGCATACTTTGCGGGGTGCCCGTTGAAATGATAAAAACGAAATTGCTCGTAAATGGAGGGGGGAAGAGAGAGAGAGAGGGGGGAATTACAAGGATTCTTGAAAATAAAGTTTGCTAATTGGACTTCATGCGGGGCTTACACTAAATTTAATATTCGAAGTTTTAACAACGTTAGTCAAGTTAAACTGCAATCATAATTAGAAGAAGACAGCCAACTCTCATGTGGCTCATAAACTCCGTTTATGGTTGAAAAAGCTTTCATTTAATTAAATTTAATTGGCATTAGAAAAGTTGTTGTAAAACTAAATGGGCAATAAATTAAAAATGATTTACTATTCGCAACTTTGAAAGTGAATAAATTCAAGGTTATGTTAGGAAGTGCTTTCAAGTTAAGTTAAATTCCTGCCATATGGCGAATGTTTTTACAACTCTCTGCGTAATCTGCTCTAGTTGCTCAAAGTTAAGCTGACAGGATTTTTGATCTGATCCCTCAACCCAGAAAACGCACAGGCCTGACGTCAATGATGAGCATATTTGCCTTTGGCAATATCTGCGTTTTTCATTTAAATTTCCCACCCGTTGGCAAACAAGTGAAATGACAAAAATTTCCTGTACCTGGTCTCTATTTAAGCCTCTCTCCATCGACTGGCAGGAGTGTTTTAATTTGTCAACCCCTGTCAGCAATCCTCAGGAAATCTCACCTGCCAGTTGGAAAGACCAGCTGAGTGCCTGCCTACAGCTGATTAAGCTCATTTATCATCAAAAGTGAAGCCAGTCAGATGGCAAAGGTGCTCCAAGTGCCTCACTCGGCTTAAGATTCACACAATTAAATGGCCTAAACTGGGTGGCATCTACCAGGGAATCGCCTACGGCATTCGCAGAGTACAACAACTTCGAAGTCAATATTGATATTCATGTTGGGAATCCCAAAGTCGCCTACGAAAGGCTTAGGGAAACGCTTGGCTTGAAGAAGGCCAAGGAATTTTGGTATTTGAAAAGTTTCGACGCCCATCAATTTGGCAAGACAAACATATAATCGTTAAAGTTTTAATTGTGCTGTGCAAATGATGTTTTCGCTGCCATCTAAATTTAGATTGAAGAAAGTTTGGATACATATTAGCAAAGTTTCCGGGCTCAAGAGGCCAGAATTTAATTCGAATTGATAAAATTTTCACAAATCTAATGAAATTATCAAGTAAAGGAGATGTTAAGATATTAGCGCCAAAGTGATGGTTTAGGGAACTCCTAGAGGTAAGTCTTATTAATTCAGTTAAGAAGAATTTTCTACATCCTCGTCACCTTTAAAGTAAATGCAAAAGCATGCATAATCTCTTTGAACTAGCTTTCCCTGCAGACTTAAAGCACCCGAGGGGAAAGTGATTTTCAACTTTCATCTAGCCACTGCTCGTGTCTGTAGGAATTCTGTTCTGACATTTGTCAAATAGTTGGCAACTTTCTTCAATTCAACCAGACCCATAACTTGACAAAAACACGCCACCCTTCTACGAAGAAGTCCTGCCTTCGCCAGACATCTCGAAACTATTGACGTGTTTCACTTTTTATGGCATGCGCCTCCTGGGACGCAAGTTTTGCCCTCTTCTTCCTTCACTTTTCTGCCGTTGGCTTATTACATCGCCAAGTTGATTTCATGGCATTCTTGTGGTGAATCCTCTACGATGACAGAGGCCAAAAGGATCCAGCTTGGAGTAGCCCAGACAACATGACACGACACCAGTGCTGAACGGACTTTGTCGTAAAGAAGTGAGAAACATTTCATGACCAAAAACCTGTCTAAATTTTTGGAGAAAAGTTATAAAGCATTTTTTATACTTTTATATTTTTATAAAAAGTTCTTTTTTTCTTACCTGATTTTTTCAGACTTTTAAATTAGCTACCGGCAGCACTGACTAACACCGCCTGAGTGATTGAGTCCGGCATTTGAGAAACAAATTGCAGGAGTTTTCGCCAAAATCCTTGTTTGCCCCAACGCATCTCGGCCAGGACAAGCTGAACAAATGAACAATTTGGTGAATTAATTTGATGTCTCGGCTGATTCGGTTCTCGTTATTCAGAGACACAAAGATACATCTGTCTGCGACCCAACCACAAGAAAAACTTTGCATAATGGAGCTGAGTAAATGGCCTTGTCCTCCTGCAAAGAAATGTACGGCATTCCACAGATGTCACATGTGCAGGACACAAAGGCTCGAAACAAAGGATATTCCTTGGCCCAAAATGATTAATTTCAATTCATAGAGCACATGGCTTTGATGACGATAACGACTGTGTTGATGTCAAGTTTATCATTGACCAAAGTTTCATCCACCAAATTGGGCAATTTATCTTGATGACTTTGAATAATATGGTTAGGTTAAGTTATGGTGTTTGTTGGAAAAAAAAATGAATGAGCATTCAGGAGAACCTCACAGAAATGCTATTTAATGAAATGAATTCGACACTCTGATAGATCAGCAGTATGTGCATCACAAAAAATGCCGTGAATTTGCATTACAGAGTGTGATTTTTTCACTACGTTAAGCTCATTCAACACTTTGTCATGTCGGACACATGGCATTTACATGTTTTTCAGGGAATTTTCCGTACTTTTTAAAGGAAAACAAAATAAACAATTCAGCTTTTCCATCTACTTTTGTAACTAACTAAAATGGGTGATTTAAACTAAACTAAGCACAGCCTGTTGAATCCTTGGAAGCATAAAAATCAACCCAACCACAGCTGTAGATCACATTTTTATATTTTTCAAACCACATTACCCTTTAATAAAAATTATATGCACACAGAGACCCGCAGAATTGTCAACTGGCAGCTGGCAGGAAGAAGCATGTCCTTGAACTGCATTTTAATGTCCAACTTGTGGCTGAGTAAATAACCAGCTTCCTCTCCTCCTGGAAAGCCCTCCTCTTGGGATCGTTATCCTGCTGACCATGCTGGTAGCAAACTATTTTTAAAGAGCTAAAAGCGAAATGCGAATTTATGAAATTAGCATAAGTTGAACCCAAACAGAATTTACAACTCTGAGTGGCCCAGCCAAAGAAAAGGAGGAGAATGGTTTCAGATTCAGATTCATTGAAGTGCAAAAACGAAGGCAAATCCAAAAATACCTTTGGCACTGCAAAGGGATAAGGAAACGGACAAATGCTGAAAAATATGGGCCTGGGGAATTATTTATTTTACTTTTATTTTTGCCGCGAGTCCTTTTCGCTCCCTTCGTTTCCCTTTGTCCTTTGACTGTCTGTGTAATCGGCTAGAAGGGCTTAGATAAAACACGAAATGGCCACAAAAAGGAACTTGTCGCTAAGAGCATCCACACTCTCTCACAACGACTACATATATATGAGACTATAGAGTATGCAAACAATCCTCCTGGATCCTGGGGTTCGATAACCGGAATCCGGATCTAACCCGAGGGGGCCTAAAGTCCTGCCTTTGTTGGCCAACAAATATGCCCACGTTAGCAAATAGAAAAACATGTAAATAACAATGAATATATTGAAAGCATAGGAAAAGTCATGGCACTACACGATGTAGGTGAAAGTGAGGTGACAGGAATTTGTAAATTATATAAACCTAGCAAACTGCAATACTATAGCTTATTCTACTTTTTCTGCTTATATTATTATACCTTATATTGTCATTTTATAAAACACTTTACTTTCATTACGTAGATTTACAGATTTTACCTTTCAAAGACATAGCTTAGACATGTTCAACCAGAAACCTGGCAAATATCACAATCATGGTCAGTGCATGTATCATATAGACGAAGATCATGGCCAGAATGGCGCCTTGTAGAACATAATCCGATCGGTCCAGATACTCCGATCTCCGCTGATGGACAACGGTGACGGTGAAGACGACAAGAACCATCGCATAGAACAGACTTATCATGGACACATAACGCAGCATATAGCGATTGCCATTGAGATACACAACGGAATAGATCGAAATGACAATCACTACGCAGCATAATGTGAGCACGATAATGAACAAGTTCCCCGGCAGTAACTTCAGCGGCACATAGATGCCAATTATGTAGAGGATGATATTTATGGACGCCACTATCATCAGAACAACACATATCCAGAGATACGACAGCTCACACCATTTGTTAGAATTGACAAAGATCATTACCACCTCTGCGCCGATGATGGCCAGCAGGCAGTTGCATGGACAATGGTTGGCCAGATTCACAAAGGCCAGGACCACGATACACCCCATTGCTATGAGCAGCCACACAAAGGTGGGAATCGTTGGGCTTATCGATTCCGCAAAGTCCATCTCGAGGATCCGAAAGACTATCAGCTGGAGAACTGCAAATAACGAAAGAAACGCATGGATACTGTACACGCACAGGATGGTCTTTCTCCCGTGGCTCATCGGTTGATCTCTATAGCTGAGGTTCAGTCGGGAAACCACTCCTGATCCTGGCTCGCTCAATACTCCAGGTGATTCGCCTGAAGGCTGTTTGCTTGGTGGTGGTACAGGTTTCGGCACAGGTTTCGGAGGAGCAGGCGGCGGTGCAGAAACGGATTTCGGACGAGGGGGCGGCGACAAGGTGACCGCTTTCGGAGGTGGAGGTGGCGTCGATTGTGTCGCAGTACTTGGCTTGGTTGGGGGAGGAGGTGGAGGCTTTTGCGGAGGAAAAGTCGTTCTCGGGGCAGTTGGTCTGGGTTGACTGGATGCAGGACGGGGTGGATTCTGTTTACTCATCTTCCTTCGCTCTTGTGCCACCACCCCCTTTCTGGGAACCCGCTGGCTGCTATCAACATGTATATTAGTTAGATATTTTATGTGTATTTGATTAACAAGTCGGTGTGTGTACTGTGAGGGATAATGGTAGTGTTAGTTTATGTACAACATCATATGTTAACTGGTTAGGAGATCTACTACTATTTAAGGCCAAAGTAGACATTTTTGCAGAAGGTTTTTCACGAATTACGTGAAATGAAAATCACTTTTGGCACCTATAACCCACCACCATAGCCTGATCAAAAAGGCACTTATAAGATTTTCCAGTGCTGCCTGGAAAAACTGCTCCTTCCATGAGACTCATGCATATTAAATGGGAATTACGCTGCCCAGCACTCGAGTGCTAATCAATGACACGTGCTCTGCTGTCACCAGACTCATTATGATGGCCCGCCCTTTGCACCTGATGGTGTGTTTACACATGTATTTAGCTCTCTTTGGGCCTTTGTTTGTGCCAATGTGTGCGCCCTGTGGGGAAACTTTTTGGGCAATTTTGTGGCTGAATGTGGCTTTTACTGAATTTTAATTAGAACCTGCCGCTGAAAAGCCAGCACGTGCAGAAACATGACCAAACATGGCCAAAAGCCAAAGTCAGGAATTAAATAAACATGAGTCGGCCAAAAATCTTAAGGTTTCGCCCAAGGCAAGACCGAACAAAGTATATACCTATCATTTCCTTTAGAATATATGTTATTGTGTCAGAAGGATTACCCTGCTTTGTGTTCGAATTCCATCTAATCCCATATAATCGATTATGACCAAAGACCTTGCCAGCATCTTGAAATTTGTCCATATTTGATATCTCTATTTCCACCCAGATTATGGTCGCAATAAGCCCTGGCAGTGAAAGCCCTACAAATGCCTATCAATCAATGGCCTGCCACTCACAACAATAATAAGTTTTAAGAGATTTAAACGGACAGTGGCAATAGCCGCAAAAGCCACAGCACGAACAGAATGCCAAATGTGGCTCGGAAGTGGGCCTTAAGGAAGTCCTAGCAAGTACAATTAGAATGACAATCCGATTTTATTGACGCTCGAATGAGTTGCATTTAGCTGTGAATTGTACAATAGATTTATTGATGCGAAAGTGAAATGTAATATATCCTTTGGTAATGACAAATAACAGGGTGTCTAAGGGAAGTTTGTCTAATCTTTTAACAAGATATAAAATAAAGGTGATGCAAAATATTTGATCTAAGTAATAAGTTAAAATTAAACACTTCGTAATCAAACTACACAGTATTGTTGCAAAAGAATCTTCACTTTGTTCCAGCCCAAGGTTCGTGAATAATGCCATCAACAGAGTTTTGCTAAAATGTAATTAAATTTTAATGTCTCCATTAGGAAATTTTCACCTGGCCGAAATATCAATAATTATTAAGCCAATTAAAACGTCCAGCCAAAGTTGCCATGCCAAAGACTTGAAATTATTGAGGACTGTCAACAATCTCTGACTGATTGATTGAATGTTTTTGGCAATACTCAATACCTTTGGCATTGAAGGAGAATATTAATAATAATGCCACTCGAAAGGTACCTTCAGCCGTGACGAGCTCTTCCATTACCAAGAACTAAGCCTCTAAGTTGGGTGAGAATGTTCCACATGCCACTTGAGGTTGGGCAACAGAGTTTTTCCACCTGCAGCTAATCGGGGGTGTTGGCTTATGTCAAGTCATGTCAACCCATTCGATCGACCTTGAGGGTTAATAATAGGGTTCCCATGTCAATTATTCATGGCAAAATCATTTTTAAGGACATGCGAGCCAGGCAGGTGTACCTAAATTACCGCCAACGTGCTGGAAAAAGTAATCAGTTTAATTATTTAGAAGGTTGACTCTTATTTTAGCACATATTGAGTTTGTATTTATTATTTGGTAAAGAAGGAGGCAATTTTGGTTACGGTAAATATAGAAAAAAGGAAGGTTACCTACCCCCCAAAAACCAGATTAAATTTAAAACTCCTTTCGATGGCAAGACATTAGAAATGCCTTCGGTGGCACGTACCCACATCAAAATCATGCCGTGACTCGCCGACCGTGCGACATGCAATTGAACAAATAAATCAGCGGGCTAATAAATTTTTAGCAACGCTTCCAAAGCCGAGGTAGAAATCCAAACTGGCTTCAATAAATGCTGCCATAAATGCTACTGCCAGCTCCAACTCCCAACTCCCAGCTGCCGGCTGTGAGCCATTAAGGAAGCCAAGTGAACGAGAGGCGAAGGACAAAGCCAGATTTCAGGCGACAAGGCAGGGAGTTACACTTGGTTGACTTACTGTAGCTGTTGCTGTTTTTCAGCTTTTTTCCGCTTTTCTTGCCTGGCTTTCCCTCTGTCTCAGGCAACCTTCACTTAAATGCTGTCGCCTGCTGTAACACACGGCGTATACGTGTTGTGTCGTAGCATGGCTTTTGCCCCCTTCCACCACCACGACTTTCACCGCACACATCGAACAATATGATTAAAGGCCGTTTTTAGCACCTGTTCTGGCTGTTGATTTTGTATCGAGTATTAATTGCATTTTATTTTTAATGCCAACACTCGAGACGCCTCACTCGCATGCAATTAAATTATTTATGCATGAGGGCATAAGCTATTTGAATGCTTATTTACGTGTAACCCAGCGTGTGTACTTAGTATACATTTCAGCAGGAAGAGATGGAATGTCACTCGCATTCGCAATTTCTTTTCTGCTTTTTAGCTTGGAAACTGTAGCCAATAAAAGCGCTAAAAATATCTATTAGAATTCTTTTTCTATTGTTGCTTTTGTCCATTAAAAATGACTATCCAATTTATTAAGAATGCGATAGAGTATTTATTTATACTGCCATTCTGCTGAGTAAAGTTAATGGATGCAAATTGAAAGGTTACCAAGCAGTCGTTTCCCTTAATTTGATGGCTGGTTTGCAACTCAATTGGCAAGGCAAAAATCAATAATTACTTCTGATAATATCCCAATTAAATCTGCCAGTGTTGAAGGTGCAAACGACTTGTATTTAAGCTGTCGATGTAATTAAAAGGATGTACAATTTATTTTACGTATATTTAATTAAAAAGGTCGACAACATGCTGGAAACTCTGTCTGTGCAGCTACTCCGAACTTTATTTCAATTTAATTATAAATAAATTAAGTATTTTTATTAATATAATATATTATGTTGCCAGTTAAAACTCATTACTCCTAGTCTTTAACTAAGGAATTCTTTAATAGACCGCATTAACTTTGAGTTCTTCTTTTCGCCTCGCCAGGTTTTCTTTAATTATGCCCCACATTTTTCCATTTTGTCTCTGCTAAGCTTTTTCCACACAACAAAAAACCAGCAAAGGATTGCGTTTTTTCCCAAGAAATTTCTAGGCAAAAGGGGGTCTTAACAATGGGATAAAATACATATACTTAGAACCAAGAGACCGCAAAATACAGAGAACTAAAAAAAAAATTAAAACCATAGATTATGATTCTAGAAAGCAGTTGGTCCAGCAATTTGTATGCCAACATTTCAAGCGTTATGTGCCCAGCGGAGTTTTAACCATTCTGCAGAATGCTGCCTGCTGCCGGCTGCCTGGTTGTTGACAACATGTCAAAGAAAACAATGCCGCCAAGAGCTGACTTCAGTTTTCCATCCTCTTTCCGGTTCGTCCACCCCTTTATCACTCCTTTTTCCAACGAGAAAAGTGCATTTAATTGAAAGAATAAATAAACTACAAATTAGTTTCCATCAAGAAGACTGACTTGTTGTTCAGTCGCTCTGCAAAAGCCATTTGACTGTTTTACCATAATAGCTTTAAGGGGCGTATACTTGATTTTATTCAGCGACAAAGTGGGACTTGCAGGAAATATTAAGAGAATAAAAACGATGGGGAGTTGCCTGGCTAAATTAATGGAGAATGGTTGTTGATGAGTTTTAGTGTTAAAAGAGTTGACATTTCATGAGTGAATTCTAACTTTTTAGTTAAGGAAAATTCAAACGAAAAACCATGGAATAGCTCCCTGAAATCAAGTTCAACCAGAGCCTAAAGGGTTCTATTCTTCTAACAACCATTACAAAGTTAAAATCTCGATTAAAGTGCCAAACTGATTTGAATATTTTTATTCAATTTTAATTTTAGTGCCCACCTGTAAGACGTTGCCTTGGCAAAGAAAACAATCGAAGCTGGCAATTAATAAAACAATAGAAAAATATGTTGTATGAAAAATTCATTGACTGATTTAAGTTCCAGAAAAAGAATAACAATGGTGTCGATTAAAAATAAAAGGGAGACCCACCCACATGCCCCTAGCAATAAATGGTGTCAAAAGAATCGTATGGCTGCCATAAAAGAGGCTTCACTGTACCGTACAGCGTTTGGATGAGTGACTTGGATTTAGAGCCAGAGGCGGTTTTTTTTTTATCCTGTGTGGGAAAGAGGATTCCGTCGTTCTTTTGTTGATTGTTGGTGGTTTCCCACATAAATTTGCCGCAAGATGCTCATAAATTTTGCCTATTTGACGTTATGAGTGCCTTAGAAATACAATGTGCAGGATAACAAACCATGTCAACTCGGCAGGCTGGAAATAGATATGATAACAGCATCCTGGCACCATCTTAATTTGCCTCGCGGCCGAAATAAGATTTAGCTATTAAATTACTCGACAGGGATCGGATGATCCGAGTGAGGAAGTGCATAGGGAACGCTACTAAAACCCAACTACCAATTACCTATTTAAGGCAAATTAAGTGCGTTGTAAATTCAAATAATTTATTTGAACGAATGGCCAAAGATAAACCACAATCCTAACAGCTACCATAAGAAACAGGAAAGCTTTTGCAATGTTTCTACAGAAATGTTGCCCATAAAAAGCTCAAGGAGTCACCACTCGCTCTTGGCCGTGCGGCATTTTGGCAGCAACAGATAACAGATATTAACATCAAAAAAGTTTAATTTTATTTGCATTAAAACAAATAATTAGTTTAACGAAAGTTTCTGCATAAAGTACTTAAAAACGTGAACATTTTAAATTGCTTAAAAGTTTTATCTCGCCCAAAAGTAGACTAAAAAGTTTCTGCCACTTTTAGTAAAACACAAATAAAACTTTAATACTTGCAACGAATGCTAAACTGTTAGCCAACTTTTTGTTGGTCGAATTAAAACACAAGTGTTGGGGTAATTAGGCTAGCTTTTTAGTCAACAGTCGTATTAAAAACTGTACAAGAGCTAATTTGAAAATCAAGCTTGTCTACAGAATGAGATTAAACTTCAAGGGGAATATTTATTAAAATGAACTTTAAATGCGTCTCAGCAAAGGCTTATAATAGTGAATATAATAATCAAAACTTTCAAAATTCATTTTAGATTTCATCATTTAACATTTAACAATTCCCATCCATACAAACAACGTCAACTTTACACATCTAAAAAGATAAATATTGTAAAAAAAAATTACATATCAAAACACAGATATACCCAAACATGAAGAGGGTCCACGTGGACAACTACACGCCGAAGTATTACAGTGGCAAGTGGTCCTGGAACGCGGAAAAGGACTCTCTAGAGTTTGAGCCGCACAATGATCTGACCAACGCGCGAGAACGTTACATCACCACCAATGGGTTCAAGTTCCTGCGCACCATTGACCAGGAGGAAGAGCTCATCTTTCGGCAGGCTTATGTTCGGGATCAGGGCACCTATGACTTTGACACGGTGGTGATTAATGATATCCGTGACTTGGTCCTCTTCCTGATGCCCAGCGATTTCCTGACCTACCGGTTCGTAGAGTTCATGCACCGGCCGGCTGTCCACCGCCTTATCCACGCTCTGATCATCTACTTTGAGTACTTTCTGAGGATGGTAGAGTTTATACTGGTGCGACGTGATGAGCTGGCGGACCAGATTCAAAGCGATCAGACCATCGAGATGAAGAAAATCTTCTCGATATATCTCAGTCAGTATCGTATTCTGGTGGCCCGCAACTACAGTGTGATCCTGAAGGGCGAAGGCGACATGTCCAACTACTACCATATGAAGGAGATTGTCAATATTTCGGATACAAGTCGCGACAGGGTTTTCCACGAGCAGTTCCTCGCTGTGATGACACAGATTGTTTGGATCAGCATGCATCGCCGGGCGTACTATGTCATTGAGATGGAGATGAACCGGCTGTTTCGATCCGATCACTTTGTGATGACCCGGCCAGAGTATCTAAGTTTTACGCCGGCGGAACGAAGTCTACTATACGGCCGGAACAATAAGATAGTAAACTACCGCACACAGGTATCGCCACTGATCCAGGAACTTGAGCACGTGGCGGAAGAGGACATGCCAATTTTGTGGATTGGGGAGCGAAAGTACCGAGGCACCGATTTGCGAATTAATGAGATGGAGTTGGAATATATAGTACCAGGCCCCCAGCTTCGTATGATCGATGTTGCGCACGGCATTCTAGGCCATCCGAAGGATCTCTACAATACCATCCTCGACTTGGACTGGCCCACTGTTCGCTACTCGAACTTCTCGCTGAAATACGATCCTTACCACATTATGCGCCAGCCACATCTGGACATTCCCAGGATGGATGCCTTGAAGCGACGAAAGATGAGCGAGCACTATGAACATTTCTATAAGGTATATCGAATCTACGAGCCGCATAGCCTACAGATCCTGTTCAAGTGGCTCAAGCGGGACAAGCTCGTCCAGTTCTACCGTTCCGGGGGACTGCTGCTCACCAATGTGGTATCCCGGGCCGAGAAGGAACTGGCCGATAGGGTCCCGGTCACCAAGGTCGATCAGGTCATCGCTAATTACTTCAAGGTCAAGTCAAGGCTGCGCAAGGGATCACCTTTGGAAGCGGACAACATTAGTATCACATCTTCGCGCATCGGTGGCTTCAATTCTCCACGCCAGAAGAAAACTACTCAGGAGTTCTATTTCGAATGATTCTTTGGCTCCCTATGAGGGCTTTAAATTCTTCGGAATTAAAATAATTCAAAATTCGATTTCAGTGAATAAAAGTTTAATTGGCTATTTAAATTTTAGTCTAAGCTATTATACATAATCGGATTGTAAAATTATCGTTCCCACTGTTTATAATGCCAGACCAGCTGATCCGAAGATAAGCCTATCGTGTCGCCTATCGTCAGAATCTTTTGACCTCGACAGCCCTATGCAGCAGTTGCTCGATAGACATCGTACAGTTAAGAACCACATCCGTCTGCCAGAATCATGTCCGAGCCGCCATATCTCCACTTTACACAAATTGGAGATCCTGTGCTCCGCCAAGTAGCCAGTGAAGTTTCTCCGGAGGACATCGACAGCTTGGAAGTTAATCAAGTTGTCGAACGCATGGTAAAGGTGTTACGTCAATATGATTGCGTAGGCGTGGCAGCGCCTCAAATCGGTATACCGCTTCGTATAATCGCCATGGAGTTCCGTGAGGGAAAGCAAGAGCAATTTAAGCCGGAAATCTACGAGGAGCGCAAAATGTCGCTGCTACCCTTGGCAGTAAGTAAATAAAATATATTTTGTTGAGAAATTTAATATACATTTAACTGAAATATTTGAAAAATATTGCAAGAAAAGAAAGAGTTTCTTAATTAGGGTTGTCCAAATAGACTTTATTATTTACCAAAAAAGTGCATTCCATTCCTAAAGTGCAACACCAACCCCGTGATTTCACACCATAAATCATATGCTTGCAGGTCTTCGTTAATCCGGAGCTGGAGATAATCAGCAACAAAGTAAATAAGCATCCCGAGGGCTGTATGAGTGTGCGAGGCTATTCAGCTGAGGTGGAACGTTATGATAAGGTCAGGATCCGGGGGATCGGGAAGCTGGGTACTCCGTCGGAAATTGAACTGGAGGGCTGGAATGCACGGATCGCTCAGCACGAGGTGGACCACCTAAATGGAACTATCTACGTGGATCGCATGGATGTCTCGACCTTCAAATGCAACACCTGGGAGCAAATTAACGCAGCCGAGGGACGTTCCGCCATTTGGTTCCACAAGTAAACTTATCTTAAAAATGCAATTAATACTATTTTTCGTTTTTACTTTGCATAATTATCTTTTTTGTAATATCAGCTTCTTAACTTTTTTACTTCGTTTTTATGTTATCTACAAATATTTAAATAAATACAATTTTGAAATTTTCATATTTTTGTTTATTTTTAAATCAGCACAAGGTGAATATTTAAAAAATAAAACGATTTTAACGCCTAATTTCAAAAATCCGTTTTCATCGATATATCGATAGTCGCTCACATGCCCATCCCTAGCCGGTCAGCTGGCCAAATAGACGTTGGTTAAGCAATAACAAACAGAGATTATACGAAATGCTTCTGAAACAACGGATAAAATTATGCCAAAGGATCCTGGAGCACAGACGCTGCCTGGGAACGACTCCTCCAACGAATCAGTCCTTCAGAAAATGGTACCAGAAACTGTGGACAACGGAGCGCACTAACCTGCCGCCTTATAACCACTTCACTCAAATTGGAGACCCGGTACTGAGGCAACAGGCGGCTTTAGTGCCCAAGGAACACATTGATAGCCCCGAGATCAAGGCCATTGTGGAGCAAATGGTCAAGGTGCTGAGAAAATTTGACTGTGTGGGCATTGCGGCGCCCCAGATTGGAGTTTCCCTCAGGATCATAGCCATGGAGTTTAAAGGACGAATCCGAAAAGAGTTGCCCGAGGTGGTTTACCAAGCACGACAAATGTCCGAGTTGCCACTGACTGTAAGATAGCGCTCTTATCTACCAGCACTCCAACTATTATAAACTCCATTTATTTTTTTTTAGATTTTTATCAATCCTGTAATGTCGGTAACGAACTACTCCAAACTAAAACATCCTGAGGGCTGCATGAGTGTGCGGGGATACTCGGCCGAAGTAGAACGGTTTGAAGGTGTAAAGTTGACAGGCTTAAACCAACTGGGAACACAAAACGAAATAACATTGAGCGGGTGGAATGCCAGGATAGCACAGCACGAAATGGATCACTTGGATGGAAAGCTTTACACCGACCACATGGATCGCTCCACTTTCTCGTGTACCTGCTGGGAGGCGGTCAACACGAAATCCGGACGCGTTGAGATACCTTTCTATAAATAGTTAAGTCGCAGGCTGATCTTTTTGTATGTATGTATATAGTGATTGAATTGAAGTTTATGTATCACTGGCAACTGTTCATTATGACTGGTCTGATTTCATTGGCTCGGTAGTTTTACATGCTCGCAAATTTCGGCACGCCGCTCCCAAGGCCTCCTTGGCTTTGAAGTACTCAGGACTGTCCCACAGTTCTCTCTTGTCCATCATATATGTAAACAGTTCATTGTATTCCCGATCAAGCAGCCGGTGCGCAAAAGCCGTCTTTAATTGTTGAACCTTAAGTAGATCGGAAAGAGCCTCTTCAGTCTTAACGTCCGACCTCTTAGCGAGATGTATACTCAATTGGCAGTATTCATTATAATGCTTCCGCAGACACTTGCCCAAATGATTGACCACTGCAGTGCGCAGGATAAACTGCCTGATGACCGGAGGAGGTTTGCGCCAAAACATAGTGGAACACACGCCGGGAAACGTTTCCGGTCCCCCAACCGATGGAAAATACTAAATGACAAAAATTACAATGCTGGTCATAGGGGTTAATTGAGACCTAGATATAACCCCAGTCGCAGCAGCATATATATTTATGTCAGATGAAGCCTCACAGACCACACCTCAATTATTGACGTCACAACTACACGGATTCCTTACAGCAGTATAGAAAATTTCTTTATATTTTTATACTGCTATTTAACCAGTAATCAATATGAAGAGAGTCCATGTTGATAATTACGCCCCAAAGTACTACAGCGGTAAATGGTCTTGGAATTCAGAAAAGGACTGTTTGCAATTTGAGGCGCATAATGATTTAGAGAATGCACGAGAGCGCTATATTACGACCAATGGCTACAAGTTCCTACGCACCATGGACCAGGAGGAAGAGCTCATCTTCAGGCAGGAGTATCTGGTGCCGAAAAGCCATAGTAGTGACGATGTGGTAATGGAAGATATTAGAAACTTGGTGCTCTATCTGATGCCTCGAGACTTTCTAACATACAAATTCATTGAGTTTATGCACCAGTGGGAGGTCAGCCAACTGATTCACTCCTTGATAATATACTTTGAGTACTATTTACGCATGGTCGAGTTTGTGCTTATACGTCGGGATGAACTTTCGGGTCAGATGGGTCAAGTGCAGAGCGAACAGACCAATGACATGAAGCGTACCTTTTCCGTTTACCTAAGCCAGTACCGTATGCTTGTTGCCCGCAACTACTGCTTAATTATCAAAGGCGAAGGAACCATGTCCAAGTTCTATCACATGAAGCCGATTTCTAACGTTTCAGCAACTATCCACGACAAGTACTTCCACGAACACTTTTTGGCGGTGGCCATCCAAATAGTCTGGATCTGCATGCACCGCAGAGCTTACTTCATCATTGAAATGGAAATGAATCGCCTTTTCCGCTCCGAGCACTTTGTTTCTGCCCATCCCGAGTACCTCAACTTCACCGATGCAGAGCGCAGTCTCCTTTATGGCAGAAACAAGAAAAACTTTAATTATCGAGTACAGGAGTCCCCTCTGGTTCAGGAATTAAAGCTAGTGGCGGAGGAGGACCTGCCCATCCTGTGGATTGGGGAGCGAAAGTATCGAGGCACCAATATCCGCATTGCTGAAATGGAGCTGGAGTACATCGTGCCTGGATCACAGCTTAGATTAATTGATGTATCCCATGGTATTCTGGGTCATCCAAAGAAGCTCTACAATACTCTTCTCAGCCTCGATTGGCCGGCTGTACGTTTTTTAAACTTTTCTGAAAAATACGACCCATATCACATTGTCAGGCAACCACAAATGCAAATTCCCAAGATAAATGAACTTCAGATGCGGAAGATGTGCGAGACCTATGAGCACTTCTATGAGCTACATCAAGCTTCTGAGCAGATAAGCCATCATCAAATTTGCAAGTGGGTCAAACGGGATATCAACATCAAGTTCTTTAGATCAGGGGGTTTGCTTACGAATATTGTATCGCGATGTGAGAAGGAGTTGGCAAGCACATCGTCGGGCCCAAGGGTCGATCTGATCATCGCCAACTACTTTAGGCTTATATCCAAGGTGCGCAAGGATATAAACTTATCTGAAAAAGATAGCTTTACAAACCATCGTTTGAGCAGTTATGCTTCTCGCATTAGTACAATTAAAGCACCGAGGAAAACTTTTTAGTTTCGCTACTGTAATTCTTAAATTGTGTAACCTCTTGTAATATTTCCATTCTATACTGTACTATATTTACTTAAATAAATATTGGGACATGGGAGCTGGTTTAGCTAGATTTTAGATTTAAAACTGTTGGGCGGCAGGGAACTAAACGTCAATATTCATGGTTCCTAGAAAGCCATAACTCCTCTGAACTTCGTCGCGAACACTACAATAAAAGTACCCTTTAAAAAAACCAAGACACCATACACCATTTACATACGCGAAGACAATGAAGCGTGTCCATGTGGATAACTACGCCCCAAAGTACTACAGCGGCAAATGGTCATGGGATTCGGAGAAGGACTGCCTTCACTTTCAGGCGCACAACGATTTGGAGAACGCCCGAGAGCGGTTCATCATGACCAATGGCTACAGGTTCTTGCGTACCATGGACCAGGAGGAAGAGCTCATCTTCCGGCAGGAGTATGTGCGTCCGAAAAGTAACAACAGTGACACTGTGGTATTGCGAGACATTAGAGACTTAGTGCTCTATCTAATGCCCCGAGAATTTTTAAAGTACAAATTTATTGAGTTCATGCATCAGCCGGTAGTGCATTCTGTTCTCCACGCCTTGGTGATATACTTTGAGTACTATTTACGCATGGTGGAGTTTGTGTTGATTCGTCGAGATGAACTTCACGGCCAGGTCCAGAGTGCGCAAACCAATGACATGAAGAGAACTTATTCAGTTTACTTGAGCCAGTACCGCATGTTGATTGCCCGAAACTATTGTGAGGTGATTAAGGGCAAAGGAAGTATGTCCAAGTACTATCACATGAAGGAGGTTTCCAATATTTCAGCCACTATCCATGACAAGTGCTTTCATGAGCAGTTCTTGGCAGTGGCCATCCAAATAGTCTGGATCTGCATGCACCGCAGGGCGTACTACTTCATTGAAATGGAAATGAACCGCCTTTTCCGCTCCGAGCACTTCGTTTCCGCCCATCCTGAGTATCTCAGTTTCACCGAAGCAGAACGCAGTCTTCTCTACGGAAGGAATAGCAAGAACCTGAACTATCGTGTTCAGATCTCTCCGTTAGTCCAGGAGTTGGAGAACGTAACTCCAGAGGATTTACCTATACTATGGATTGGAAGGCGCAAGTATAGGGGCAATGATATTCGTATTGCTCAGATTGAAATGGAATACGTTGTGCCTGGATCACAGCTCACCTTGATTGACGTCTGCCATGGCATCTTGGGTCATCCGAAAAAGCTCTACAACACACTTCTAAGTATTGACTGGACTGCTGTTCGTTTCTCGAACTTTACGGAGCAATACGATCCTTACCATATTATCCGGCATGCTAACTTGGAAATTCCCAAGATAGGGGTACTTGAGATGCGGAAGATGTGCGAAACCTATGGTCACTTCTACCAGGTGAACCACATTTACGAGCTATTCACCCATCAGCAAATTTGCAAGTGGGTCAAACGGGATATCAACATACAGTTCTTTAGATCGGGAGGTTTGCTCACGAATGTTGTATCGCGATGTGAAAATGAGTTGAGCAGCACATCCTGTGAGCAAGAAATCGACCAGATTATTTCCCATTACTTTGCCATAATGTCCAAGATACGAAAGGGAGATTCTGAAGAAAAACAACGATACAGTGCCGTAAGCATTTTTAAAGCGTCGCGAAGAAGGGAAGCCAGCTTATAAGCCGGCTAAATTGGATTAATCCAAGGATATGTCTTGTGGTGAAATCTCTTGAAAACTAGGGTAGGGCCTTGACTTCTTGAAAGGATGTTCGTGCAATTGTACATTTTCAAGCTGTCTACATAAAAACATTTACATTTACAATCAAAGCAATTAATAAATCTGAATATATTAATATTAAATATTAAAAACTCTTTCCGTTAAGTAAAAATCGGCCTGTGAATGTTACCACACAACGTCAAAAATATTTATTATTTTTACAAAATGTTAAAACTTATTTCTAAATCATTTTATATACAAGTTAAATTAGAACAATCGGTCAATGCTTTTGGAATTAGCGGGAATCTTTTCCTGATTTCCTTTGTTCAGTGTTCAGCTTAAAAAAGACCTTCGATTTGTCCCGTTTCCGTGTTCAGGTCGATATCGTATATAGCAGGACGGGTGGGAAGACCCGGCATTTTGGTGACCTCACCGCACATGGCCACAACGAAGCCGGCTCCGGCTGAAACGTATACGTCCTCCACGTCCAAGGTGAAACCTTTGGGGGCGCCCTTGATCTTGGCATCGCCCGTGAACGAGCCGGAAACCTTGGACATGCAGATAGGAAGGTTGCCAAAGCCCTAATACGCCCAAAAATGTTATAAAATAGTTTATATAATAAAAAACAATATTAACTTACAGCTTCCGTCAGCCGCTTGACTTTCTCCTCGGCTGCAGGCGAGAGCACCACCTTTCCAGCACCGTACATGGTCGTGGCGATCTTGTTCATCTTTTCCAACAGCGGCAGCTCCAGATCGTAAAGCAGTCGGAACTGATTTCCCTGTTCGCAGGCCTTGATAACAGCATCAGCCAACTCTACAGCTCCGGCTCCTCCATCAGCCCAGTGGGTGGCTACTACAGCGGCGAATGCACCTGCCTCCAGAGCCGCCTTCTTGATCAGCTCGTGTTCCGCTGGAGTGTCCGCCGAATGGGCATTCAAACTCACCACCACGGGCATGCCGAAGGCTTTGCCGTTGGCAATGTGCTGCAGCAGATTGGGTAGACCCTTCTCGACGAGCTCCAAGTTCTCCTCGGTGTATTGCTTGTTCAAGGGGGCTCCTGGTGTGACAGGTGCTCCGCCTCCATGCATCTTGATGGCCCTCACTGTGGCCACCAGAACCATGGCATTCGGTTTGCGTCCGGATGTGCGGCACTTGATGTTGCAGAACTTCTCCATGCCAATATCTGAACCGAATCCAGCCTCTGTGCAGACGAATCCATCCTTGCCCACCAGCTTCAGGCCAATTTCATCGGCAATAATGGAGTTGCAACCGTGGGCAATGTTGGCAAAGGGACCAGCGTGCACTAGCACTGGAGTTCCCTCGAGGGACTGCATCAGGTTGGGCTCGAGAGCATCCTTGAGAAGAACGGCTAGGGCGCCAGTAACACCCAGATCGTCAGCGGTCACCGGCTTGCCCTTTTTGTCAAAAGCCACCACCATGTCGGCCAGCCGCTGCTTCATGTCCTCCAGGCATCGAGCTAGAGCCAGCACAGCCATAATCTCACTGGCCACTGAAATGGAGAATCTAGTCTCTCTCGAAATACCCTTTTCAGTAGGCGATCGTCCAACGGTAATGGTTCTCAGATACCGATCGTTGATGTCCACCACACGCTCCCACATGATGGTCTCCGGATCGATTTCCAGCCGGGCGAATGAGCCATACTCCTCTTCGGTCAGAGTATCGGGATCGGTCTTGGTAATACCCAGTTTCTGGAGACGGCGCAGTTGGATAGGGCTGAATTTTCGCTGACCCTTGACCTTGGGCACCAATCTATCGTACAATGCCTTGTCCTTTTGGGTGTTCTCGTGGAAGATGCGGGTGTCCAGCTGGGCGGCCAGCAAGTTATTGGCTGCAGACACCGCATGAATGTCTCCTGTCAGATGAAGATTGAACTCCTCCATGGGAATCACCTGTGCGTAACCACCGCCAGCTGCTCCTCCTTTGATGCCAAAGGTTGGACCCTGAGAGGGTTGTCTGAGAGCAGCCATGGTGTTCCTTTCCTTGTGAGCTCCCAGAGCCTGGACCAAGCCCATCAGCGTGGTGGTCTTACCCTCGCCCAATGGAGTGGGTGTCATACCGGCAACCACCACATAGTTACCCGCCTCCTTATCAGCCAGACGCTCCAGAACTGACAGTGAGATCTTAGCCTTCTTGTTGCCGTACAGGGAAACCTCCCGCGCCTCCAGTCCAATCTCCTTTGCTAGCAGGGCAATGTCCTTTGGTTTTTGGGCGCGGGCAATAACAATATCGCTAGGCACGGGACGCAGAGGCTTAAGGGGCAGCGGTTGCAGATCCCACTGGCTTCTGAGCAAGCGCTCCAGGGATCGGGCCGCCGATCGTACGGTGTTCTTCATCAGCATGGCCACCGTCATGGGTCCAACACCACCAGGCACAGGAGTAAGATGTCCGGCCACCTGAAGAGCCTCTTGGTAATCCACGTCGCCCACCAGCCTACTGCCACTGGCTTTGCTGGCGTCTGGAAAGAACCAAATAAGGAATAAGACAAGCTCAGATCATAGATAGGTTCATCCCGATCGGGAGCTGTTCCCTAACTAAATCTCGACAGCATATTTTTTTTTTTTGAAAACAAAATCAATTCTTATCTCCGAGGGTTAGGAGTTCCACTAGGGGGTCGATTCCGTTGATAAGCGATTGAGGGGAAATCAGTAAACAAGTGGAAACATTTGGTTTGCTCTTTTGAGATAGGAAAAATATTTCATATTATCTATATAAAAGCCTACTAAATCGGTAGATTATGCTTTTTTTTATGCTAGAAAGCTAATTAAGTTTAAAGAAAAGTGACCGGGAGGTGACTTACCTGGCTTCACATTGATTCCGCAATCGATGACCACGGCTCCAGGCTTTATCCACGAGCCCTTAACCATCTCAGCCACTCCGATTCCTACAACCAAGATATCGGCACTTCGAGTGATCTCCTCCAGGTTGCGAGTCTTTGAGTGGCACACAGTGACCGTAGCATTAGCCCACTTGAGCAGCTCAGCGGCTGGAGTGCCCACGATTTTGCTGCGACCCAGGACAACAGCCCTAGCTCCTGCAATCTCTACACCTGAACGGCGGATAAGCTCTAGACATCCCCAAGGTGTGCAGGGCAGGAATCCTCCCAGATCGCCGATGGCAAGTCGGCCTTCGTTTACCGTGTGCAGGCCATCAACATCCTTTTCGGGAGAAACGGCGTCCGTAATGCGATGTGAGTCGATTTTAGTGTCGCAGTCCAAGGGCATTTGCACTATGATTCCATGTACGCGGGGATCTTCGTTCAGGTCGTTAATCTATAGTGAAATTTCAGTTCGATTATTATCGATTTTATCACATTAAACAATCTCATATTTACATTATAATCAGGTAATAATTATAGTGATAATTAATTAACATTTTTTAAGCCTTTTCACATAACAAAAAGATTTGCCATTGCATAACCCCCTCAATCGCATACGAACCTTATCGAGTAGTTCCAATTCGGTGATGGATCGGGGCAGCTGGACGTGGGCGGCATCGATGCCAATCTCTGTAGCCGCCTTAATCTTCATTCGGATGTAGACGTTGGAGTCCTCACGTCCGCCCACCTGGACGATCCTCAAGCCGGGCGCAAAGTCTGGCGATTGCTTGGTCATAGCCGCCACCTCGTTGCGCAGCTCCTCGCGAATGGATCTGTTTTTAGGAGAGAGATACCATAAAGCATTGATCTAACATGTGAGTAAGATATCCCAGCTTACTTGGCCACCGCCGTGCCCGATATAATCTTGGCCTCGCTCATCTTGATCGCCGGTTCTGCTCTCCACTCCTCGCTGAAAAAACGTAAGCCCGTAAAGTACTTTTGTCGGAAAGACCGAAAATTCCGCCTCACTAGCCACGCCAACTCGGCTCGCGCAATTCAACTGAGCGGAGTATTCCACGGGCAGCTCTATCTATAGCCTACATAGGTGCTCTGCCCCGCCCCTCTACACTTTTTAATCCCGCTCCCTTATCAGCCGCCCTACAGATTATCGGTTTCGTGTTTCTGCCGGGTCACATCTTAGCGATAGGCACATCGTGAACCATATTGACTGACGTATGCCAGCGGCTCTATGGGCCACAATATATGATCCATCTCCCGATCAGTGTAAGGAAAACAACCGCAGAAGTGTGAATGGTAAACATATACCATGGCAACGATCGTGGAAAATTGCTGGCAAAAGTAATTTCCATATCAAATCCAAATGTCACTGATATGAAGCACTTGAAGTAGCACTCAAAAGTTCAACGAGCTCATAAACCAGGGAGATGGAAATCAATAAATTGGTATTATGTAAAAACACTTTTTTTTCGTAATTGAAGATTACTATTAAAATCTAGACCGAATCGGTTCCACTGTAGCAAACTATTTCTCTACCTGGCAATTAACAGCAATTTCCTAATCTAACTAAACAAAAAACTGCCCAAAACCCAAAACATTCTGCACGAGAACCACAAATAACTCCGGTAAATAGATAAACCAGTCCTTATCATCAGGTGCCAATTGGTTGGCCAGATAACCAAATCAGTTTAAACATACACAGCATAAAGTGAGATAGAGAGAAACATAGACATAGAGATTGAGCATTTTGAACTAGACCGAGGGAATTTATTGACATGCTTTTAGTTTGTTTTGATGGCTGCTCTCAGCTTGGCGGATCGACTGCGTGTATTTCTGGCCACTTCCTCGGCATCTGGGACGATAACATGGCGATGGAGTTGCTTCCAATTCTTCTTAATAAATGATTCCAACATATCCGGCTCATCTATGGTATAGTAGCTGGAGTACTTGAGAGGCAAGGCATTTGCAGCTCCGGCCACGACGTTTCCATTGATGTGGCGCTTCACGATGGTGTCCTCCAGCGAGTGAAAAGTGATGGTTACCAAGCGACCATCAACACGGAGGATTTCGTTGGCCAAAACCATACCGTAGTTGATCTCATTTAGCTCGTTATTAACGAATATTCGAATAGCTTGAAAGGTCTTGGTGGCTGAGTGGGCTGGCCTGCGAAGCTTATCCTTCCTGATTCCACCATCCATGATATTTTCCACTATATCCGCTAGCTCCCTGGTGGTCTCAATTTTAAAAAGAGCATTGCGTGCGTCTATTAGTCCTCTAGCTATCTTCTTGGCCGCCTTCTCTTCCCCATACATTCGTAGAATCTTCACCAGGTCACCTTCTTCTATATGAGCCAACACCTCGGCAGCTGTAACTCCTCCGCTTTGACCACCATCCATTCGCATGTCCAGCGGTCCGTCCTTGGAGATGGAGAAGCCCCTGACGGCCTCATCGAACTGCATGGAACTGCAACCGAAATCAAAGAGCATCCCGTCCACTGAGTTCTTGGCCAGGCCATGTTCCTCAAAAAGCTTTGGTATATCGGAGAATTTTCCCAGAAGGGGAATCAGCCTGCCCTTGTACTCCTCTGATTCGCTCATCTGGCGGGCCAGTTGGTGGGCCACGGGATCTCTATCCAACGCGTAGACCTTGGCCTCGGGACATTTCTCTAGAATACGTCGCGTATGACCACCAGCTCCAAAAGTCATGTCGAAATAGATGCCTCCGGGAACAGGATCCAAGTAATCAATAGCTGTGTTGAGGAGCACTGGGACATGGGGAGGAGAAGCTGCCGCCGCCTTTGCATCAATTGCGTTTCGTCTCAAGTATTCCAGTCTCAGTCTAGTGGGGATTAGGAGTCGTTTAATCATGGTTCTACTTCTTTTTGGAGCCAGCTCCCTCGTTAAGATATTGCAGAAACTCGGAGCTCAGAACTTGGCTGCACTGCGCGGCGGTTAGTCCCGTAGCCGTTGATTCGTAGATGCGCGGATACTTCTTGGCGTGGACGTTGTTAGAGAGTCTCTCTAGAGCATCAATCTGGCGGCTCAGCTCCTTATCTGTCGCTCCGTCCTCGAGGCTAGTGAGCTTGGTCACCTGTTTGCGAATCTGCTCGCCGAGATCCCTTTTTTATGGGTGAGAGGAGAGAAAGTTTAGTGGCATTGGCGACTAATAGTGTGATTGTGTGTGATTTCTGTGGCGGATGTTCGTTCCATGCGGCGCAGCTGGTCAGGAGATTCGTTCACTTTCCCGGAAGTATGGGTTTGGCTTGCAAAACCACTCAGATGGTCGTGTAATTGAAAACCATTAAGAGAAAAACTAACGACGAGCAACTGTGGCCATAAAGTTACCTTAAAAAATAACAAATGCCTAAGCTCATACTAAAAACGATTATATTGCACGATTCCTGCCTTTTCTAGAATTAAAATTCTAGATGCCTAGGTATACATTTATTACAATTACACCTTGAAATTCAGATACAATTTTATAGGATTTCTAAGCCTTCATAGAAAAGGTTATAAATTGTATCAAGCAAAACGCCTCTACATATCAAATATGTCTGTAATTATCCAGAGATAATTATAAGCACACTTTTTATATACCAATTAGTTTATTGAATGCAAAATTTTAATAAGTTATACCAAATAATATTTTCACAAACTTACTCGAAACCATAGCCTAAAAGAAACTTTGCCGACTCCAACTGATAAGAGAATTTCGAAGCCATTTTTTTTTTTTACTTAAACAATTAAGTTTAGAAGATGTCTAAAGCTCAAAAAAACTGGTAAGACAATGTAAGCCTTTTAAGCCAAGTAAGTCGACTAAAGCCAAGATCCACATCTGACCAGGCTAGAATCGGCGAAATAAGATCCATAAGTCGTACGGTCAGCTGGTGTGGAACTTAAATTTCTTGGCGCGCCGGCAGGTAAAGAACTTCATAAGTAAATACCTCAAACATTCACTGTTGCTTTACTGATGTGATAAATCATAAAGCTCTTAAACAATGCAATGTATAACGATTGCACTTTAATTCAAATAAATGAAATTTCTGGGCAATATTTGTTTGTTAGATAATCTAATGTGGTTGCGCCGCCAGAACGAACATTCGTGATTTATTTGATTTGTTTTTTATGCTCACCTGCCGACTTTTGATTTCTCCGCTGGCCACTTTTCAAGAACTTTCAGGAATCTCTGGTATTGCGCCGACATAATTGTTTAAGCTTAAAAATTAAAATTAAACAAGTTGCAGCGCAACAAAAACACACGTTCTTACTAGAGGTGGTAGCAAAACGATGTTTGTTCGATATTATCAGTAAGGGTATTCCCTCAACAGTTAAATGGAAGAAATTAAAAATTCGACAGCTCTTAAATGAATTCTTAAAAACATTTTCGTTAGTTTTTATTTATTGTAGAAAATTGTTGTTAAATTCTAGAAGTCAAACTTTATCTGAGTACTTCAAATGACTAAAATTAAAAGTTTTCGTTCAGCTATCGATAATCTTTTGTATTATGTTGATAGTCCACTGATATCGATAACTGAAATAAATTTCAAAAAAATTTGAAAAGGCTGTTATATTATGAATATAAGACGTAGGCAACTTTATCTTTTGATTTCAGTTAAGTCCAAACTACAATCGCAAATCAGATTAATTCTTGGTTTTATTTCACAACGACTAAAATGCGGCTTAAACACAATCGGTTAGCTTAGCTAATAAAATTCATGCGTTTGTTTAAAATTAAGAGCATCATAATTGGTAAAAGAAAACTACGGGCTAATACAGGTTTACGAGTAAATGTAACGTGGTTATGAGAGTACACCCCAAAATGGTTAAATGCTAAATTTTTGTTGCTGTTTGCTTATAATTTCGCTATTGCTGATCCTACGCTCTTCTGCCCTCCGGTTTCAGAAGTTGCAACTTGGTGGAAATGGGTCTCAGCGAGGATGAGGACAATGGCGATGAGGACGATGACGACGGTGACGACAGTGACGATATGGATGTGGATGTTCCTGACGATGTGGAGTACGGATATATGGTGCTGCCACTGCTGCTGGAGAATATCGGAGTTGTGCTGGTTCGACTGAAAGGCGCTGGATGGGAATACTCTGAAACGGGCTGAGGTTCTGTTCCTCGGAATTCTTGCGGCAGCTCTCCTCTAAATACCCCAAATTGAGGGGTAGTTCGAACGAGCTGCTCCAAGGGTGTAAGCCCATACTGAGCATGTCGCTGATGGACTCCACCATTGTCTACGGCATCCAATTTGGGTGGTAGCACCAGACTACTGTCCACCACTGACTTGCCATCGAAGGTATAGAGCGCTCCACTTGGTAGACTGGCATGGGGAACCTTCCGGTTGTCCGGTGGCAGGTAGTAGGTGTCAATCCGCTCCGCAGCAGCTGCCACTCGGTCGTCCATTTCAAGTTCCATCTCATCCGCATAAATATCCTCTTCGTCGGGTCCAAAGAGGTCCTCTAGGAGTTCGTGTTCAGGTTTTTTGGTTGTAGTGGTGCTTGGAATCTCTTTTGTAGTTTTTACTGCTGCCTTCTTGGTTGTTTCTTCCAGTAGCTCATCATCATCTTCAAGTGGTTCGAGTACCACTTCCTCATCGGTTATCTCCTCTCCAAAGAGTTCATCCAAAGTGGGCTTTCTCAACTCCGAGGCGGATGGCAGGGCGTGCTCCACAGCTGAGGAAGGTAATCTCAAAGCCGAAGCCGTAGGACTAACCTCCTTTACATTTACCCTTAGAACCTTCGAGGCATTGGTACTATCCAAAGGAGATGGTATAAACATGGGCTCAAAGCTCTGGGTTTCACTGCCACCCTGCTGAGCTGTCAGAAATAGCGTATCCGTTTCCATTACCTCGTCGATTTCAGTGCCAGGATCTTCTCGGCGATGGGCCACCTGGTCTATGATCTCCTTGGGCAATTGGACACCACTGCCATCAGTTCTCATGATGGGTCGGAAGCCGCTCTCCACGATCACGGTATCGGGCTTAAAACCCTGATTCACAGCAGGTCGCATGCTGGCGATTTCTTCTTGGGATGGTTCCTTGACAGGAGGGCGTTTAACCAACGGCGTGGTCGTGGTTGTGCTGCTAACGGAACTAGCACCAGTAGGGGGAGTAACAATCGGTTTCTGTTCAACCTTTCCGCCTGGTTTATTAAAGAAGGCCGTGTTTTGTAGAGAGCCCTGCGGTTCCAAGTCTACATAGGGTACTGGAATTTTAGGTTTACCCTTGACCTTCAGTCGCTCTCCTTTCTGGTTCAGCCCACCAAGTCCTCCGCCCAATTCAGTGGGTTGCCCCAGGAGTAGGACAGAGGCAGCAAGCGGTTGCAGTGGGAAGGGTTTTTCCTTGACGAAAGGCTTCAGCAATCCCGGCACTGGCTTCCTGTAGTGACTCACAATCAAGGAGGGCTGCTGCTGCAGTAAGACGGGCAGCTGCTGTGGATGCGGATGCAGGTGGGGATGTTGCTGCGGTAGTATGGGCCTGGAGGCCGGCACTTTCTTGATCGGAGCAGGGAAAGGTCGACGGCCGGGCAGCTTAACCGGATGGAAGAGCGGAGCGTTCTGCGGCGGACGCAAAAACTCAGAGAGTCCAATGGTTTTCTGGGCCAGCGCTGGAAGATTAGCGGTTAGATTGTGATGATGCAAATGGACATGCGGATGCAGGGCATGCTGCGGATGTTGGTGCAGGCGATGCAAGTGCGGGGGATGGTGGATGAGATGGGGAACAGCCGCGTAAATGGGCAGCTTAAGATTGGCGGGGGATGGTGAGGCAGATGGGGATGGGAATACGGATGGAGATGTATTCAGCTTGTGGGCATGGGTCTCCCCCAGCAGAATCTCGGGTCGCGAGCTGATCTCGGTCGGGGTCACGTTCGGTTTCTGGTGCGGATACGGAATCGGGTTCTGGTTGGGATGGTTCAGAGGGTTCAGATTCGGGTTCTTCATTAGGCTCTCCTCGAGAGCCTCAGCAGCGCGGATGCCATCTGAAATCAGTTTGGTTATTTCCGAAGATTTCGTTATTTCAAAACTCAGTTTGGGCGGTGTTCCGTTCATATTGTGGTTCTTAATCAAATCAGTTTGGTGCTTCAATAAAAAATTATCGTTGGCGCTGACCTTGGTTTCGTGCCGGACGGACGCCTCTCCGGCGTACTCCTCGTGCACGGGTGCCGGTTCCGCTCCGGTTCCTTCCACCGGCAGCCGGATCTCGTGGCGATCCGAGGCGGCTCCCTTGAGTCCGCCCGCTTCCGAGTCACAGGCGTCATGTACGTGGATCTTCCATCCCAGATAGCGATGTGTGAAGCAGTGATAGTAGACTGTGTCCGGTGTGTTCCTGTCTGGCTTCCAGCTTATCACTCCCGGCTCTCCAGCATCGCACTTTAGGGTCAAAGTGCGCTGATAGGCTCCAAACGATTGGTAGTCGTCCGCCGGAGGACCCTCCACGTCTGGCGTCCAGTTGCAGAGGCGGCCAACGCCAGTGGGCGTGACTTGGCCAGACCGGGAGCGATGCACTCCGGCGTAGATGCGAACGGACTGGAAGGAGCATCAGAATTAGGGGCTATCATATTTTATCAGCAATGCAACTAACCTTCTTCTCCTCCTCGCGTTTGTGCTCGTATCCTCCCACAGGATCGTCACTGATGTAGAATGGATGGTACTTGGCCGGAATGTCGGGGTTGTTGCCGCCCTCCACCACAAAGGTGTAGGTCCTGCCGCGCACCACATGGATTTCAGGGATCAGAAGCCCGTTGATGTACCAGGAAATTCCCCAGCCGACGTGTCCTAAGATATAAGAAAGATATATCGCTATTCTGGCCTTCAACTTCTTAGAGAGATGCACCTGTGATGGCTGGATATCCGTGCTTTCCTCCCGTGGGTCCCATCTGAGCATAGAAAACTCCATCCTCAGGTTCGTGACACTGGATGGCCGGGATGTCCCAGGCGCCGTTACTGTTGACTGGCTTTGGTGTGGGCACTGGACGTCTTTGGGTGATGATGGCCGTTTCCTGGCGCCTCTGCGGTGGCTGGCGATGCAAGGCCTCCGCCCTATTCTCGTAGAACTCCTCGTCGGGCTCAACATTGGGTCTTCCTGCTGGTGGATAACCAGCTCCTCCAGTTGAGCTCTGTGCAGCTGGAGCCGAGTCCTCCTGTTCAGAGGAGTTGCGAGCTCCCTCAGGCAGAGGACAATTCCACTTGGGCTGACGACCGAACTCGATCTGGTGCAGATGCTTATTGTAGAACGTGTGGAAGGAGACCTCTCGGTAATCATTCAGTGGTCCAATAGCCCAGACCACAGATTCCGCTTCCGTAATCGAGATGGGCAGATCCAGACGATCCGTGGCTGCCAGAGATCTTTGGTAGGTCACAATGGAATAGCCATTCACCATGGCGGCATTTAGCAGACGAATGGAATTGGTCTTCTCAGAGATCTTAGTGTCTGGGCAGGCACCGCGTCCACCTGAACATTGGGCCTTGCCCTCCAGGAAGTAATCGGTGGCGAAACCATTTCCGGTTTGAGGATCAACCCAGGCCACCACAGCATCTGCACCGATCATCTGGCTGATGTTCTTGCTCGGCGAGATGCCAAAGGACATGTAATTGTTCGGTTCTGTGGGGATATAATGGGGGTGAGAGGAAGATAAGGGTAAAAGATTTAGGGATATGAGAGATCTCACACCAAAGAAAGGATCTGATAGGGAAAAGCTAAAGGTTAGTTTTTCTAAAATTCTAAACTTTAAGCTATAAATCATTTTTCAAGTGCAGTTAAATTCTATAGGAAGTTATTTAAGCCCCGCAATCAACGAAAGTTGATCGCCCCAATTCTGACCTGGTTAACCGGTCGGCAGGCATTTTCCTGGTGAAAATTCCTGCCAGCATTCTTAGCGGTTGCAAATTGCCCAGATTGGAGTAAGACCAGTGGCGGTTGGCGGTTGGCGGTTGGTTATGGCCAAAGTATGCCTGCCCATGGTGCTCTGCTAATAATGGCAGATGGAGCCAGCAAATCGCTGTCGCCGCTTCACCACACCACAACCCATCGCATCCATTTGTCCACCACCCCATCCCAGCCAGCAGCTCGAGTTGCGCAATAAAACCAGTCGTCATAATTCGCAACTTGTTATTCTGCCAAGCGATGCTGCTGCCATGGATGTGGCTGTTTCTGCTGTGCTGTGGATGCTGCTGATCGGTCAATTTGGATGCTAACTGGATTTTATTGTTGCCATCTCTCGGCTTGCTCCCTGCTGCTAACTGTACTCGATAAAATGTCAAAGCATCATAAATCACCAGCAGCAGATAAGCCAGCAGGCAGCATGCTTTTGACTTTCCGCCGAAGGCTTGTCACCAAATGGGATAGGTCAGAGCAAGGGATTGGGCTTATGAAGAAGACTTCATCACGTTTGCTGTTTTTTATGGACTTAAAAACTTTTAAATTGAATTTGATTGAAGATTAAACTCTGTTTTTTTTAGGATTTAAAACAATTAACTAAACATAAACAGAAAATCATAACTGATTAAGTAACTAAACAAAGTAGACACCCACAATGAAACACAAAGCTAAGTTCTTTACAGTCTGCTGAACTCCTACCTAACAGGTACAAGGGGGCGAACTTCCGGCTATTAGCAGCAGTTAGCACCCAGAGGCAACCCCACAGACTTACCCAACTTGGCCACCAACTGGACCACGATGCTCTCGCCGGCCACTGCCCAGCGCACCTCGAATGCCAGATCATCGTAGAGCACCTCGCAGTTGAGCTTCGACTGGAAGAGATTGGTTAAAGGGAAGGTTCGATTGGATTGGATTTGGTGGGTACGGATTACGGGCTTGTCAGGTGATGGCACGGGGGATGTACAGTGCGGGTGTCTGTGTGTGTGTGTGTGGGTGGGTGTGGGTGGGTGTGGACTGGATGGAGAGAGGGAGGAGGAGAAAGCTTGGCCAAAGTTTTAAATTTTGAGCATACCCGAAATGTTTGCATTTTTGTTTTGCTGTTTTCGAAAGATTTTTGCTTTTTGAATGGTTTTTATTATACAAAATGAAAAATGTTTGTTTTTGATATCGCTTGGGGGTTAGTAGATCGATCACAAGGATGTGTGTGTGTGTGTGGGGTGTGTGTGTGTGTTGGTGTGTGTGTATGTGTGGTGTTCTATGTGTTTGTGTTGTGCATTTTGCGTGTGTATTTGTGGATTGGTTTTCGAGGTGGAGGAACAATTTGGACTCAGTCCCACACAGATTTCATTTTGTATAAGACGGAGCTCCCGGAGCTCAAGCAAAAGCTGATCAAGACAACAAAACACAAAATAACAAGCAGGTGAGTATTACATCGACACATATATTATAGAATGTGTTGCACATATGTATGTATATAAGTATATAAATATATATATATATTTATTTTGGATCTCTCCTCCTCCTCCAACTCCTCCTCCTCCTCATTAGCCGCCATCCGTCCAGCTTACAGTCTAGGAATTTCCGGTCACGACTCTCGTTGTGCCGGATCCGATTCGAATCGATTGATAAATATTTTGCATATACACAACAATAAATACGATTGCATAAATAGAGTTACACACACAGTTACACCCTTCTAGCAGTAGCAGTAGTAGTAATCAGCGCTGCAGCTCGCTTAAGATCTGGCTGGCGTTCTTCTTTACCTGTGGGCTGATTCCCAGCATCTTCAGCGAGGGCGGTACATTGAGTCCGTCCGGCAGGCGAACATGTCCGAAGTCCACAGTGAAGGCCTCACACCAAACGCCAAAGTGACCGATATCAAAGATGGTCAAATCCTCTGGCAGGGTCAGCACAATGGTCTTGCGTTCGTAGCGACGCAGCGGGTTCTCTTTGCCATTCTCGTCCGGAATCCTCAGACCCTCAGAAGTGGGCCTCTGGCCGCGACCAACCCAGAATTTGGCATCTGAAAATAATTGTCAGAGATAACTTTTAGCCAACATCTAACATTTTTTATCATCTAATTCCCTCTCCAACTCCATAAGAGCCAAAATAATCTCTTCTTTCAGGTTTCGGCTTATCATTAACATAAATTTGTATAACGATAGCTTAAGTCCCGATCTGGTATATATTGTTTTCATTATTTTTCGACACACAACTTCAGTGTGAATTCCCCTGAATGAAAATTCTTTTTTTTTAATTAATGCACTTCATTATTATCGTTTAAACTTGCCTTAAGTATTCTACGAAATAAACTTCTAAGTTTCTTTGGAATAATTGTTCATTGATAATAAAACAATATATGGCAGTGGGTAATTGGCCTGGTATTGTCTTACGAAGCAAAAATATATGTAGTTGAATATCTAATACGACGTAATGCCTTTGGATATTAAGCAAGCCTGATGATAGGTAATAATTTTCTGAACAAAATGTTATGCCTTTTTGAGTGCCACTCACCTGGCGCTTCACCATCGTAGCTGAAGTTGGGGACCAGCAGCGTCTGGGCATCCACGATGACAATGTTGTCAGAGGAGACGCCATGGACACCCCTCAGAGCACTGATCTTCTGTGGCCGCGGGAAGTCCAAGTTGGCTGGGATGGAGACATCACCAAAGTTCACCGCAAACTCATCGCACCAAACCGAGAACCATTTGATGTCGCGCAACGTTTTGCCCTCAGGCAGGGACAGAGTTACATCCTTGTTCCGATAACGACGTGTCAGGGAAGCAGTTCCACCGCGCTCATCCCTCAGTCGAGCGGCTCCCTCATTACTAGGCCGCGCCGTGTTTCCTACATAGAAGTAGGCCGCCGGCGCCTCACCATCGTAGTTGAATTTCTTGATGAAAATGGTGCGTGAGTCCACGGCGTACACATCCCCGGAGACACCGTGATGGAGGCGGGTTAGGGCTCCGATCTTGGTGCCATAATACGGGTAGGCAGCATCTCCAAAGTCAACAAAGCCTGCAAACACAGAAAACAATCACAAGAATCGGTGAGGCAAGCGGCCAAAACAAAAGACTTAGGCAACAAACTTGGCGCTAGCTGAGTCAGTGGGCAATGAACACACACACAGACACACACACACACACGAAATCTCCGCAGCCATTTAGCGACCACTTAATTAGTCGTACACTGGGGGAAATTTATGACTCTTAGATTGCTCAATGTGTGTATGGCACTGGGAGAAAAAGGTAAGCTGGTTTCATGGTTAATCAAAAAAGCTTTTCATATAAGAAAGTTAAGAAAGAAGAAGTAAGTATTAAATTCTGAATATGTTAAAACCAAAAATTAACATGACTCTAAGAAATATAAACCCCTCTAAAAACAAGGATAAGTTTTGTGCTTTGAATTTCCTTTATCTTAAAATAGAAACCCCTATCTCTGCCTGTGAAATGTTACCCCAAAATAACCTCTTTAACCACCTTTGCTAATTATTTGCTAATTTATAAATTAACTTAATTATTTCTTTAGGCATTCAACTTCAGTGTGAGTGCCTTTAATTTGCATATCAACGGGTTCTAGACAACAAACAAATAAACCAAAACAATCGAATCAAACACCGTTTGGAGATGGAGATAGCCATGTGTCATAGCCAGAACCCGATCAGAGCGGTCTTTGTTCTTGGGGCACAGGAAGTTTCGGATTTACGGATTTACGGCAAATAAATTTTGAATACAAGCCGAAAGTTCGTGAGGCGTGTAACATCAAAACAAAACCAGGTCTTAATGGGAACTAATTCTCGTTAAGAGATGAATGGTTCTAAGCCTACTTTAATGGGCCAACTTTGTTGGCTTTGCTGGCTGGTGGGCTGGCGAATTTCGTTTTCAAAAATTCCCACTTCACCTTCACAAACTTGTTGTTGTTATTGTTATTGTTGTTGAAATTCAATTTATCTGTGTTTTATTACAATCTTTTTGTTGGTATCGTTTGTGCTTTGTTTTTTGCATGGGCCATAAACACGTTTGGTTTTTTTTTTTTTTTTTTTTTTTTCGTTAACTGCCATCAAATGGTTTGTCGGGGCGACATGGTCGCCATGGCCTGCAGTTATTTTTTTTTTTCATTTTTGACACAACCCGATTGGTTTTTTTTCAGATTTCAGATTTTTAACCGCTGGCCGGTTCACTTTTCCGTGGCCATGGCTTCGGCTGCTCCAAATTTTGCCCAGACGCGGACGAGTCTTTCTCGTTTGCCAGAATCTGGCCAGTTTTTGTCGGCCACTGATCTGATCTGCCCAACCGATTTCCGCCTGGCTGGCCCAGAATCCATCATTGATTTGAAGCTCACTTTGGGGGCACTTGCGAGATCGTATGCAAAATGCCAAAGGTGTAATTAAAATCACTGAACACCAACAGCAACAGCAATAGCAACAGCAACAAACTCGAAGTCTTATTAATGATGATCGGGCTAAAGTCAGACGGAGCCATTAGCCTGGCGTGGGCACTCAACTATTGGCTAAGCCAACCCAACGAACTGGTTGGGGGCAATTGCCAATCATCTGAAGCGACTCGCATTGCAAAATCAATGGATTTCCAAAAGCATCAAAGACATAATTCACTTGGAAATTCACTCATGTAGCCATATTTTAAAATCTTCGATATATTCAAATTGAGACGGCGAAGTGAGTGATAAAATCTAATTAGAAATCCATAAATAAAAGGCGTGTAATGGTGGCTTTTGATCTTCCGATTAATTCATCGAATTAATTCGATTTCGAGCTTTTAACGATTTAACATGCAATATCAATTAAGATATATATTCTCTTTCTCTTTTCGTTCTGATTTGATCAAGAAATTTGTTATTTCGGTGAACAAAAATATCACAAAAATTATTCTTAAAAATGTAAATCAAATTTTATCAATTTCAATTTTGTTTTAAGGAGCTGTTGTAGGTTTTCTAGTTAATATCATTTTACCTTAATGGCAATCTAATAGTTTTACCTAACTTTAACTAGCAATATCCCCCCCATATATCCTCTTAACTCTTCACACTGACCAACCAACCCAGAGACCTACTTTCCCAGCGGCTTTTCCAGTCTAGCTAGGAGGTCTTCGAAATGGTATCAAGGAAACATGTTAGCAATTTATGCAAATCTCCAGTGGAAATGCTAATGCAGTCCGTCCGTGGGACAATTGTGGAGTTGGTCAGCGGCGGTTCAACGGTCAGCGCGATCATAAAAGCTGATGAATATTCAAATGGCTGCTGCTGTTGATGCTGCTGCTGCTGCCACCGCACTCACAAAAGATGATATATATATATATATATCGTATTCGGCGTGTCATTGAGATGTGTGGGCTCATTGTCTGGGCCATAAATACAGGCCACTAATCTAGTTTCAGTATAGCTCAATCTCAGTATATCTCAGCATCTGTGTCTCTATTTGTATCTCTATCTGTATCTGTATCTTTATCTGCAGCTGTGTCTGCATCGCTATCCGTTCAATTTGCATCACAATGGCACTTATAAATCATTGCCCGGGGTACTTACAGCTTAATGCGGCCAATAGGCCAAATAGCAGCAGCCAAGGTTTATCCTTCATTGCCAACATGGCTAACGGTTGCTAACTTGAGTGTGTGTCTGGGGTTTATATTTTTCTTATTTTTGTGTGACTGTGTGGGTGTTTTGGGCTGGGGCCCCGATTTTATTTCAATTTATTCCAGCAGGATGTGTTTATCCTGATACTGGCAATCACACACACTCGGGGGGTATAGAGAGATCTTCACTCGCGAATCAAAATTGAATTTCGAATCGATCCAGGAATCTTTTTTTTTCAAAGGGGTTCCACTGAGCCTGGGATCTCGCGACCGGACGCAACGAACTCCAAAACCGCACTGATCGCCAACGACGCTGAGTCTGCGCTGTCAGCAAAGAGTTGAGCTTCTGCCCTCCTCTCCCGCTCTCTCTGCCAGCGCTGGCAGAACTGTTTGGGGTCTGGTTTGCTACCAATGTTGCTGCCGTCGCTGTTGCTGTTGCTGTTGCTGCTGTTTTTACTCTGGATGTTGCTGTTGTGTTATTGATATGGCTGCACCTACAGCTGATGTTGCTGTTGTGTTGAACCAGGTTGCTGCTATGATTGCAGATGAAGCTGCTGCTGCTTTTAAAAGTTGGTGTTGTTGTTTCAGGTTTACCTTTGCTATTCTGGCTGCTTGTGTTGCTCGTAATGTTTTAATAGTTAGTGTTGAGCAGTTACATAGCTCCTGTTACCTTTTATGTTGCTGATGTTATTATAAATATTCTGTTATTGTTGCCATAGCATTGCTACTTGTGCAGCTAATGTTGCTAATGTTACTGCTGATGTTGCTAATGTTACTGCTGTTCTTCCTGTTGAGCAGCTTAGCTGTCACAGTTAATACTGCTGCCTTTGAGTGTTATTGCTGGGCTGATGTAATTTCCATTTCTGCAGGCAATGTTGCTGCTGTTACTGCTGATGTTGCTAATGTTCTTGCTGTTAAGCACCTTAGCTGTCGCTGTTAATACTGCTGCCTTTGACTGTTATTGCTGTGCTGATGTAATTTCCATTTCTGCAGGCAATGTTGCTGCTGCACTCCTGGCGTTGTTGTGTTGTTATTATTATTGGCATTTTTGCAGACTGTGTTGCTGATGTTACTTAAGCTTTTAATGTTATGGCTGCTGTTATCTACACTCTCAGCGTTGCTGTTCCTATCATGCCCACACTGTTATTGCTTTTTGACTTGCGATCCATTGCCTGGCTTACCAGTGACCCACTGTTGCCTTTATGTTGTTATTGCTGCCCGTCAGCAATAATTATTGCTATGCTTGCTGTCGCGCAGTCGCTTTAACCAAAAAAGAAAAAAAAAAAGTAAAACGACAAACTTCAAACGTCTTTCTGCCGCGGCGCCTTTTCGGCCAAGTCAAATACATTTTTTTGCACACCTTCTGTCATTTTTCATGTCGTCTCTTATGTTTTTTTCGTTATTTTTTCGTTGCTATTTTGTTGCTGGTGAATTTAAATGTTATTCTGCGTGTTGAACTTGTTTCGCTGCTAATGCAATTTATTGTTGTCAAATTATGGCCCACAGTGATTCGAAAATCTCGAATGCCCGATACCCAATACCCACTTTTGTTAGCCATTACATGCACTTTTTCCCGCTTCCTGCTCGCTTAATTTGTTTATATTCCCTTTTGGCCGCTATTTCCGCGATTGCTGATATTCAAAGTTACACGAATTGAATTTTTGAATTCAATTAAAAAAAAAAAAGTATTTTAATTAATAATTGTTTTACAATTCCATGAAAGTTTCAGCCATAAATACTACCTTTAACCATGTTTACTTTCGATTTCTAAACTTACACATGCTAACTTAAAATTAACTGAAAAATTTCCTTATAGCCAAGTGCTTTGATTTGGCTAACTTTTGATATTATCTCACCTTTTCTATTTTCGTATTCCCTTTGATTGCACTTTCGATTGTTCCCGCGAATATTGGATTACCGGATTAGATAATCCCCATGGCTGTGATGGATTAAGTCGCCGGTTCGAAGGTGAAAGAAAGCAGATTGCCAATTCGTGATCCGTTTGCCAAGTTCACTCGCTCGTGTTTGGCCGGAGGCCTCTCCAAAGATACAAAATCAAGAGATACAAAAGGTCAGACCTTAAGTGAGCGGTTACAGCCGCTTGTTAACCGTTTGCTTCCCGCTTACATAATTCAATTAGGCCCCCCTCCACCATAATGAAGATAATTTCTGGGAGCCCCCAATAAGAGACGCGACATTGGTCGAAGTCAAGGCAAAGTCTAAGCTAAGTCTAACTTTGGGCATCCTTTTGTTCTTGGCCAAGGCCCTGAATCTTTTGTTGGCTTTGTGACTGCATTCGAGCTTTGTTTGCCATAAACATCGCTTGGCTTATAATCTCTCTTTTGTGCCCAATAACAAAAGGCCAGCAACGACGAATCAATAACCTCTGGCCAACAGCGATCATGATGATGATGATGATGATGATTGTTATCTTCCCAAAACGGCGTTATGATTTTTGCCAAATTCAAATTAGATTTCAACAGATTTGGCTAAATGACGGCCGATAACCGTATTTTATTTTTGCAACCCAGTCGGTGGCATGTTGTTTTTTTTTAGGACCAGCAGCTGGCGACGTGATCGGTGATTATACATGGGGAGCGTGTAATTATAAGGGAAATGCTGGAAATACTGAAATACTAAAATGAAGCAAAAACGCACATTTCGTATAAATTACCAACAGTCATCATGTTTCAGGTCGCTTTTTTAATGCTTCTTTCACTTTGTAGAGAGACAAACTGGCAGACTGGCAGACTGGCAGATCGGCAGACGAACAAAAACTCATATCGCTGTTGTAAAACGCTTTCATAATCAACTCGCTGCGAAGGTGGAGCCATCGGGGAACCTCTTTTTCCAGCCGCCTTTTTCCACTCCCCCAAAGCCCTTCTCTTTATCACAAAAAGAAGCGAGGCTCGCCCGGGAATACACTTAGAGAAGAGCTGATATGAACTCTTTAAGTTGTCTTCTTAAAGAAGTCAAACTTTAATCTGTAAGAAGACAGGTAGGAAGACCTTCTAGTAAGCTGTTGATTGAATTATTATTATATTTTCCACTTAAAATATGACTTATGAAAGAACAATCTTGATTTCTGCTTGTAAGTCTTTCAGTCTTTCAGTCTTAAATCTAATCCCAAAAGATATATTTCAAGTAAAATATAAACCCACAGTTTAACTATAATCTGATACCTTATTTTTCCAAGTGCCGGAAAATATATAAACACCTAATAACTGGGTCAACGTTTTTGGCAAGTGTGGGGACTGCCTCAACGTGCGTAATTTGAATTGCCATCAAATTAGTTTTTAATTTCTCAACTGACATTGGGAATACAGCGAACACCCGGCCAAACAGCCAACAATCAAGCCACTAGCCACACACACAAACACAGAGAGAGAAACACGAACAAACATTATTAATTCGGCTACCACTTTTGGCTGGCCCAGCTGGTCTTCTTCTGGCCACTTTCGCATTTGCATGGCCAACACAACAGATTTATGGCTCTAAGCCGACGATGTCTCGCTCTTCCAGCCAAGTTGATTGATCCGAAAATTATGCACAAGCACGTTAAAAGATGAAGTCAGGAGATCCCAAAACAAATCCCAAGAGCATTAAGTTCGGGCGTGTAATTAGCCTTTGTTATGCGAATTTCTTTTCGGGTGGCTCTTAAAGATGATTTATGGCCAAGAGTTGGAGGTGGTCAGGTATCATCTGTGTTATCAAAATCGAAACAGTTCATCAACTTACTGCAGCAGAGAAAGTTGCCCACTTCTGGGATTGGCATCTAGTCTAAAGCCTCTGCGATCATTTCCCTTTCCTGGCTGGCAGCCTCAGCATTTCCTCTCACCAGCCACTTGCATCATGCATTTTAAATATAGTCGGGCTATAGCTATGTAGTCGTTGGCTATCAAGGTGCAAGCTTTCAATATTTGCTGCCTAACAACCTGGTCTAAGGTCAAGCTCAAATCGTTCAGATCGGCATGGGGGGCCTGTCCCAAATAAATACAACAAAACGAATTAATAAAAAATATGTGTTAGCTAATCTGTTAAACATCCTATTTGGAAAAATAATCACGAAAAGAAAGCGGGTATAAGGTTATCGATTGTGGGAATACCCTAAAAATTGGGTCTACTAATCCCTAGTTGCCCCTTCAGTTAGTTCATATTGACAGGCCGAAGATTATGCAATCCAGAATTGAGTAAGAAAAACAATTTATAAATATTTAATGACTTAAGAGCAAGAAATATATTCAAATTTGAAAGGTTCTCCATCGAAAATCGACTTAACGATAATAGGCAGATGACCACTTAATTACAGGGTATGCAAATTGGAAAGGCAGCTCGGCTTAATTTATGACCTGCTGACAAGGCACATTCTAATCAGCCCCAGAGGCGAAAATAACATTCACCTTCTATGGCCAAAAAGTAGAAAAAAAAACACAATATGTAGAAGCAAAAATGAAAAAAGAAGGTAATAAAAACAAAAGTGAACAAAGCAAAGTTGAATTTGTTATCAGTTTGTTTTTTGTTTGCTTAGCCAGGCCAATCGCGTGCCTCAGATGTTAATTAATTTAATTAGTCTCGCCAAGAAGAACCAAGAAGCGATGACCTTGGGCCAATGGTGGGTGATGGCTGCTGGCTGATGGCTGTTAGTTGATGGCTGCTGGCTGAGTGGGAGCTAGTTGGCTGCACATTGTTTATGACTTGATTGTTCAGCTGCGAACACCTTGCCCATTGCCCACCGCCCACCTGCCCACCTGCCACGTCTTCTTCAGCTAATCAAGGTCACAAATAGCTAAGTCTCAGCGGTGGCTTCTAATTTGAATTTTACAACATGCACTTACTTTTATGCCTTGCAATGCGAATAACGCTGTTTGTGCATTTTAGCCTGCCTTATTTATGGCCCCAACTTGGGTAATTAATCTTCTGTGAAGCTGCAATAAATGCGAAATGCGAATGCAGCAGCCGCTGAAATGTGCGATTACCAAGTCACAGAAGCCAACATGGCATAAATTTCCTGCATGCTGCTTATTTATCATCTTGCCATTTTCATTTGGCGACTCTTTATGGCATTTAGCCGGCCAACTAAGATGCTAGTTTTAAGTTAGTTAGTTAGTTTGTTAGTTTGTTAGTTTGTTAGTTTGCTAGTGGGTGTGTGAGGCCTAATAGCTGACGGGTCGAGGTGCAGTCAAAAAGTGGCACTTATGGCCTTTGTTTGTGCCTCAAACTGCTCAACACAGCATTGAGAAGATGTGCAAATATTTGGCGATTTACCTACAAGTGCGGTGTACAGATCCGAAATTAAGTTGTCAAGGAAATATATAACAAATATTAAAAAGGCGGTGAGTTTGAATGGAAAAGTAGAAGCATGTTTGCTGTATTTTAAATATTTGCCAATAAAATATTGATTTAGATTTGGGGACAGGTTAACATTAAGCATAAATACATTAAAAATATTATTTTAAATTTATTTACCAAGCTAATGATTTGGCTTTTAAGTAAAATATCAAAGGCCACTTTTTAATTACAAATTTGTATCCTTTCCCACGCACTTCCAAACGTAATTGACCAAAATAAACAAAATTAGGAAACCGGTTGCCGAAAATTCAGTAATTACCCAAACCTATGAAAAGCAAGAGCCCGCGTCTGACTCCCAGCTTTGTTGGCCACTGTTAAGGCATCTGCAATTAGCCGCAGAGCAACAATAGTTTTGCATACATTTCTTGCACGCCGTGAAAAGCCGATGAGGCAATCGCAGTTACAAAAGTCAGGCGGAGAAGGAGAAACAAACGAATAACGGCCCACGCACAGACGGCAATTAACTGGCTCACATACAGTCTAGGGTACACTGGGAGAAAATGCATGGCATAAGCTTAAAGTTGTTTTTTATTCAGGATAAAGATTTTTAGGTTTTAAATTAAAAAGTACTCTTAATATTTTATCAAATTTACTTATTTTTCATATTTTTTTATTTTATTTTATTTTTTTTTTTATTTTATTTTTTTTTATTTTATTTTTTAATTACATTTTAAAAGTGATTTATTACTTTAAATGATTTGTTAATTTCCTGTTTTTAATATTTTTTCTTTTTTTCTTTCTAAAGACCCAACATTTTTTCCAAGTGTATTAACATGTACACTCAAAAGTACAAAAGCAAATTTGTGCATTTTTGACTTGAAGATGCCTGATGAACATACATCCATCCACATGCATATGTACATCTGGATGTATATACATACATATGAAGATATAGACAATGAAGTCATGTGGGAGACCCAGACCCCCGACTGATGATCACAACCGGCACACGTGTGTGTCGAGAGCAGAAAGATATGGGTTTTCCATGGGAACACTGAGGAAGAGCCATTCAATGCACACTTGATGGTCACCAGAATAAACTAGAAGATTGCGCTGGCCACAACAATAGCTCAAAACTATAGTTGGGGCAATCTAAAGTGATATTTATTTATCAAAGTCAATGGCTAGACTGGCACACATAGAGGCTGATAAAGAAACAAATGCCAAAAGAAAAATGAATAACATTAAAAGAAAGCTAGGTTGATTCAAGCGAAGTTTGAATGCCCTTGCACTCGCTGAACAGAGATAAGGTAATCTTATTTTGTATTTCTTTTAGTAAAATATAAGATATAATCTATTTATATACTGATCATAAAATAAAGTTAACCACATTACATTTAATACTTCTAAAAATATCAATCCACCATTTACCAACGTCTGATAAAGTAATCATACTCCCCGCTTAGAGAAGAGTACAAAAACAGAAGCGTCGACACGCGCTGATCATTAACAGAGCCGCTAGCTGTTATCTAACAGCTGTAGAGAGTAATCGCCGCTCTCTATGTTTAGAATAATATGTAACGGTTAAACGCCGCGTGGGAGCAGCCGCCTCTCGCTCCCTTGATTTCAGACTCAGACCCGCTGATATTTTCAAGCGTTTTCGAAAATTTCTCTACCGATCAGTTTCTAAAGACACGCCAAGCAGTGCAAAACGTTCTCGGTACGGAATTAGTAAAGGAAATTCAACAGAACCCAAACAAAAGTTCGGGACTTCGCTTTCTTTGTATCGAAAACAAAAGTAAAATTTGTAATTAATTTTTAAACAATTAAGCAAAAACACAAAAAATGCACAGCAAATTGTTGGACGAGGTGGGTAAATCATATACAGACAATCGATCGATCGATCGATCGATTTTGTTCCATTTTTGTAAATCTATTTTGGAACCCTTGGCATTATTTATTGAAAGAACTCTTCGTTAGTCATCCTCATCCTGGGATGACTTGGTCCCAAAGAGTCATCGTGTTATTTACAACCATCAGCATCATAAACATTTCGTTGGCTGGGAAAACTCAGAGAAGGAAAAGCATTCTTTTGTTGCTGCCCGAATAAAGAAAAGACAAAGCAATCATTAATAATTGAGGAAACGTTTTCAAGATTCTGGAGATTTCAAGAAATTTAATTAAGAATCAAAACTCTGATCAGCAGACTAGTTTCCAGCCTAAGTGTGTGGCTCATAATAATGATATAGCACTGCTAATGCCGCTTAATTATGGTTTGGAATAGTTTGTTGACAAACTGGTTTTCAAATAGGTTTACTAAATTGAATATTCAATTCAGCATAAAATTGATACAGTCTTCTTATCGGACTTAATAGGCTAACAAAGTTGCGCACACGCCAGCTAGCTATTAAATAATCTATACTGAGAGAAAAGCGGGTTAACATTTTTAACAGTTTTATAATGAAAATGCATCTTTTAAGTTGCCAATTAAGTTTAAAAGTAATAAAATTGATATAGCATCGTTTCTTAATCACAGTAACTACTTTACCAGAACTACCTCCTTTATTTTTCTCTCTGCATTTCCACACCCAAGTTCTAGTTCAACGAGCCGCTTACTTAACATGTGTATTACAGAATAACTGCAAACGAGCTCCACTGCACTTGCCATTATCAAATTCAGACCGATTGCAAAATCAGCTGGCTAAGCATGTTATATGACACACACGGGACAGCATACTTGATGAATGCGAGTGCTGATTGTTGACCCTCTGCTGTAATTTTCCATGCACACGCCTTTTGTAATGGAATCATAATGGAGAACCTCCGGAAAACACCTCACTTGGCTGGTGGCCCCCTTTTTCCGATGATTTATTTTCGCAGATCTGTTAGCGTCAGATCGACAGCTGACCAAAACTCTTCCCTCTTTTTCGATCACTTCAGGTGTGCCGTTTCTTTGGTTGCCTTTGAGTCACGGCGACTATTTTTACTCTCGTTTTTCATTTTCAAAAATCTCGCTCAAGCAATTTAAATTTATTTAATTTAACCACACTCATGGTCTTAGGAACCGGGAGAAAAGCAGAGGAAGAGAGATAGAGAGCGAAAGTGAGAGCACCCACAACAAAAATGATATATTAATCTTTTGTTTACCAAACCGAAATTCTATTGCTCTTCCGTCGGGCAAATGAAAAGTTTGTTAGAACTGCTTAGGGAGATGGATTTTCCAACTAATTTGGCATTCATCAATATCTGTTTAGATGTTAGTTTGTAGTTTGTTTTTGGTTCTTTCTGTTCTTTCTCCCTTTTAAAACATTTCTAAAAACCAGAGAATGTGTGAATTTTCAATTTTACGTTGACTGATTTCGATGAATGAGCACGGATCTCGGACTGTGGGTTTATGTCAGGCGGAATTAACATTTTGACGTGCACAGGAATTTGTTAATTAGCGAACGTTCAAAAGGTGAACAAAGAGTACAAATGCACTGAGAGAAATACTAACTAGCTAACTAGTCGGGGAAATGTGGCTAAAATGAAAATCTAATTGAGAATCTCTTTGATATTTCTTGATAACTATATTATTACCATTAGAATTTGTATATTTCCTTAAGATTTGTTTACCATTTTGGGAATTTCCTTTGTTTTTAATACCTTATCGCAGTGTACTTAGTTACGATAATGGTAGAACACTCCAGGGATCGCAACAGTAAGCGCGTACCCATTATACAGTCGGTCAATCGGTCAGTTGATGCGATAATACCTCCAGCCCCCGTAGAGTCCGGTCGGAGATTGCCGGATCCGCCAGACCAGACGGCGCAGGCGATAAGGAATATATGGCTTATAAAGATTACTTCGTGAATTAACGAGGACCTTCACCCGCTTCTCTATATTTTCAGCTAAATGAAAATGGCTACATTGTCATCGACGATTTCCTAACGCCCGAGGAAGTGGACGCTCTGTTCCAGGCAGGCAGAGCCCTGTGCCTGGATGCTCCGCAGAACAACAGGAAGATCTTCAGCACCATCAAGCAGGAAGATGCCCAGGGCAAGGAGCTGTACTTCATGGAGTCGGGTGACAAAGTTCGTTACTTCTTCGAGAAGGGAGCGGTGGGCGAAGAAGGTCAACTGCTGGTGGATCCTATGATTGCTCTGAACAAAGTGGGACACGCCCTGCACGTGGAGCATCCCGCCTTCAATGCCATCACCTTCAGCAATCGGGTTAGGGAGATCTGCTGGCAGTTGAACTACAATCGTCCTGCCGTCTGCCAAAGTATGTACATCTACAAGAATCCCGGAGTGGGTGGCGAGGTAACGCCTCATCAGGACTCCTGGTTCCTGCACACGGATCCCAACTCGGCGGTGGGCTTTTGGATTGCCCTCGAGGATTGCACCCTGCAGAATGGCTGTCTGCAGTTTATCAAGGGATCGCATAAGAGCGGTGTCCACAGGCGCTATCTTCGCAATCCCGATAAGGATGCCACTGAGCTTATGGTCTACGATCGGGCAGCTCCCATCTATCCACAGTCCAGCTTCACGCCAATGCAAGTCAGCAAGGGTGAGTTTACAGAGAATCTTTTTCTCATTTTAACAGTTTTTAGCTATCTTAATTGTGTTTTTCTTATAGTAAAAAATTAAGTTAGTAGCCCTTAAAGATAAAAACTCATTTGTTTAAGATTTAGAGGGCATTAGGGAATCATGGTAACCTCATTAAATTTCGTATCTTTATGGTGGCTTGAGATGAAAACTAATATTTGATTAGCTGGTTTTTATCAGCGTTATCTTGGCTCAGATCTATTTTTACACTGTTCTCTATCAACATGAGTTATTTTCGGAGTTTATCCATTAACACTTTGTAGAAAATTAGCTAGTAATTAAGTTAATAAATGCCAATAAGTTGTTAATTTAATAAGTATATATCTACGTTTATTTGAGTTTAGCAAGAATTTTATTCATATTTCCACAATATCTAACTTACTTTTCCTTTACCTCACAGGCACCTGCATTCTCATCCATGGAAATGTGGTCCATAAAAGCGAACCGAATCGCTCCCAGAAGAGCCGCCACGCCTACACCTTCCACGTCATCGAGACTGAAAACAATGTCAAGTATTCGGAGGACAATTGGCTGCAGGCGCCGAAGGACAAGCCATTCCCCGTCCTCTTCGAGCGCAAGGCCTAAGGATCTAGACGAGATCGTGTTTCGGTATTTTCGCTTATAAGTCTATAGAGAATCTTTTTTAAGTTTCGTTTGTACACGCCAAGCTGTATGAAGTATAATTGTAAATGTAATAAATAAACTTCCTAATGTATTTAAATTTGAATTTAAACGGAGTTCAAGCAGGGCATAAGCAGTTGGGGAGCAGTGCTTTGAACTTTACTTCTAAAGCAGTTCATTGAGCTGGGACTGTGGCGAACTCAAAGCAGTGTGCAAGCAGTTTCAAGCAGATTGGAATAGATAGTAGGTCGAGGTAATGACCGACCTTATAACAAATTCACTTATCAAATTTAAACGATAACAGAGAGGTGAAGTTACACACAAAGAGCACGGTTAGAGAAGTACAGTAAGTACTATTGAGGGGAAAAAACTGATATTACAAAATATAAGTCCCGCAGCTCAAGTCTTGAATATTTTTATAAAGTAAATGTCATTTCCCCATTTCCAAAATTAATAGAATGTTGCCCATCACCTAGTCTTAACTGTTGATACAGAATTAAACAAGCAATCCCCCAGCTACTCTGACGTAAACGAGTTTTCCACCATCCAAAACCGAGATCCATGCTCTCGATTTGATAGAATTATCTTTGTCCATCAACGCAGGGGTCGAGCGTTGGCGTTGCGATCGTCGAGAGATAAATCTATTAGTATTAGGGCACTGGAACTCGACTCCGACACTAGCTAACACAAGTCAGTACGCTGCTAGCTCTCAAACGGAACGGATATATAGTCTAGTAGTTTTCGGATCCATTACAATGGCCACCAGCAAATGGGAATCTGATGAGGAGATCCAGTACTTCCGAGAGTATCTGCGCATTCCCAGTGTTCATCCCGATCCGGATTATAGTTAGTATACGGAAGATAAGCGATAATTTAGATAATAACAAGTGGCAGAGATCATTTCTCAGCAGAATTACTGAGAAGTGAATGTAAAAAAATGACAAATAATTCAAATCGTGTGCATAGGTTGACTAGGTCTTCAAATTATTTATTATTTTACGAAAATGGAGCTGTAATTTTCATCGTTTTTCATATTTTACCTTCATAGAACCATGCGTCGACTTTCTCAGGCGTCAGGCCAAGCAGATGGACCTCCCTATGAACATTTTCTATCCAGCAAATGATAAAAATCCCGTGGTGATTCTGACATGGAAGGGTCTCAAGCCCGAGTTGCCCAGCATTCTGCTGAACTCCCACATGGATGTAGTACCAGTATTCCCCGAAAACTGGACTCATCCTCCTTTCGGTGCTGATATCGATGAGGAGGGTCGCATCTTCGCCCGGGGAACTCAGGATATGAAAAGCGTGGGAATGCAGCATCTTGCAGCTATTAGGGCTCTTAAGAAAAGTGGAGCCAAGTTTAAGCGAACTATTCACATTTCCTTCGTAGCAGGTTAGTGGTTTATTCTTAACTATTCCATAAAAGATATTTCTAATGAAAAATATGCCCCATCAGATGAAGAAATGGGCGGTCGCCATGGCATGCGACCCTTTGTTCCCACTCAGGATTTCCGCGACCTTAACGTGGGATTTGCAATGGATGAGGGTTTGGCCTCACCCGACGAGCACCTGCCACTTTTCTATGCAGAGCGGGCAGTTTGGCGTAAGTTTATGTTATTTCTTAATAAAATATTATTTTAATTTAAATTTATTCCCCCTAAAAAGGTGTCTATTTCAATATCAGTGGATCGGCAGGGCATGGCTCCCTTTTGCTGCCCAACACAGCTGGTGAGAAGCTTAACTACATAGTGGGAAAGATGATGGAGTTCCGTAGAAGCCAAGTCCAGAGATTGGAGAACAATCCAGACTTGGTCATTGGCGATGTGACGACCATTAATTTGACCAAAGTTGGAGGCGGAGTTCAGAGCAATGTGGTGCCTCCTCAGCTGATGGTGTGCTTCGACTGCCGTTTGGCTCTGGATTTGAATATTGAGGAGTTCGAAGCTAATGTAGGTTCATTACTACTGATCTTAAGTTTAAATTTTTAACTAATTTATGGACTTTTTCTAGCTCCACAAATGGTGTGAGGATGTGGGCGGTGGCATTGAGATCACCTATGAGCAAAAGCAACCCAAGGTTCAACCCACTGCCATCGATGACAGCAATCCTTTTTGGGTGGCTTTCAAAAAGGCCACCGATGAGCTGTAAGTTCTGACTGCTACATATTATACTATAAGATCTTTGTTTATCAGTTAATATCTTGTATCTTTCAGGAAAATCTCCATTAAGCCGCAAATATTTACTGGAGGAACTGACAGCAGATACATCCGGGCAGTGGGCATTCCAGCCTTGGGCTTCTCACCTATGGACAACACACCTGTTCTACTCCACGATCACGATGAGTTCATTCAGGCCGACACCTATCTGAGGGGTATTCAGATATTCCAGAAAATTATAAGCAACGTAGCTAGTGTCTAGTTAATCTGTGTTTGATCTTTGTTCCATATGATAACGGTTATAAGATAAATAAACTTAAAGATATGTCTTCGACAAACATTTGGCATCCATTGCCTGAGTTTATGATGGATTTGCTTTGGGTTAATAACGACGTCTAGAGATAAATGTTAGAGATAGAAGAAGTATCTTAGGTAGTCAATTTCTATCTTTGGATTCAGTTGTATCTGAGATCTCATTAGCAAGACAATGGCTGGCCTGAAGTGGGATTCCAATAAGGAGATTGAGTACTTCCGCGAATATCTAAGGATTCCAAGTGTCCATCCAAATCCGGATTATGGTGGGTACACCAGGAACTTAACTTTCAACCTAATTAAAATTATATCCTTAGAGCCTTGTGTGAAGTTCCTAAGACGCCAAGCTAAGGAACCTATAGAGGTCTACTATCCACTGGAGAAACAAAATCCCGTGGTGGTTCTGACCTGGGAGGGAGTTGAGAAGGATTTACCCAGCATTCTGCTGAACTCCCACATGGATGTAGTGCCAGTATTCCCAGAGAACTGGACTCATCCACCCTTTGGTGCTGATATCGATCTAGAGGGAAGGATCTTCGCCAGGGGAGCTCAGGATATGAAGTGCGTGGGAACGCAGTATTTGGCAGCCATTAGGGCTTTGAAATGAAAGGGATTGAGATTCAAGAGGACCATTCACATCTCCTTTGTGCCTGGTAAATATCTATCTTAGTATCCAAGATTGTCTTTGTTAATCAGTAGATCTTCTTAACTAGATGAAGAATTAGGTGGTCGAAAGGGAATGTTTCCCTTCGTTACCTCAAAGGAGTTTAAATCTCTGAACATAGGCTTCTCCTTGGATGAGGGAATTGCTTCACCCACTTCGGAGTTTCCAGTTTTCTATGCCGAGCGTACAGTTAAACGTGAGTAAAGCATACGTCTTTGGTTAATAAAGACTAATGAAAACATCTTTCTCAGGTGTAATTTTTAAAATCAGCGGCTCAGCAGGGCATGGCTTGCTTCTAATGCCCAATACGGCGGGCGAGAAGTTTAGTTACCTAACCAACAAGCTAATGGAGTTCCGTGAAGGCCAAGTAAAACGCTTGAAGGATAATCCTGAACTACAGATTGGCGATGTGACCACCATCAACTTGACCTCTGTGGCCGGAGGAGTCCAGAGCAATGTGGTGCCTCCTGAGCTGACCGCCTGCTTCGATATTCGATTGTCCCTGGACATTAATGTGGCAGAGTTTGAAGCTAAGGTGGCCACATGGTGTGAAGAGGCTGGCGGGGATATAGAGCTGGACTTCTCTTCTATCCGGAGAAAGGATCACATTCCACCCACAGTGACGGACGATACGAATCCCTTTTGGGTGGCTTTCAAGAAGTCCACAGATGAGCTGTAAGTTTGGCATTATAATTATTCATTTTTAGATTCTCCAATGATTATTTTTCAGAGGTCTGACTACCAAGCTCCAAGTTTTTCCCGGCGGCACGGATAGTCGCTATATTCGCAATGAAGGCATTCCAGCTTTGGGCTTCTCCCCCATAAATAATACTCCAGTTCTTCTGCATGATCAGGATGAATTCCTTCATGCAGATACTTACTTAAAAGGTGTTGAGATCTACCAGAAAATTATTGCCAATTTGGCAAATGTTTAAAAATAATTTCTAAATTTTTCATTAATTGAAAAAACCAATAAAAAAATTTCTGGAAAACATATGAATTTTTCATTTATAAATATTTACAAATTTTTCTAGTACTAATATGTTTTTATTATAAATACAATTTAAAAATAATTATTTGTAATCTATCAAAAGACCATAATGAGTGTAGATATTCAAGGTACAGAAAAGCCATGTAAAGAAGACAGGTGTGAGACACTGATATATGTAGCGTATACGCGAACCGGGTACAGGCTAAGCTAGCAGCGACACAATCCAAAGTTATTTACGTGTATATTTCCGTACAAAATTAAACCTATTTTCAGACTCTTGAATGGGCCTTAACGTATGTTTAAAAATCTTAAAAAACATTAGAACACCGAACTCCGATAAGTTATTGCTTAAGATAGCAGCTAACAAAAACAAAATATGTTAAACTGCCATTGGTTACGAGAATTTCCCTTCTCCGTACGTTCTTTGTCTAATAAAAAGAAAAATACTTATTTAAGTATGGAATGTTATACCTCGCTAGACTCGTAATAAAATTCTCTGTCGATTTCTATTCAAACTTAAGAATATTTATTTTTCAACATTATTTGCTGATTTTGATGATGGTACCCCTTATCAAAAATGCGAAATTTGGGTTACCTTTGCATTCCCCTCAAAGGTTTAGTATTTTTCCCATAACAAACCCAATAACGGTCCAAATTTGGAAGTTAATACCTCGTTGATCTTGTTTTCTAATTCCTATTCAAACTGCATTCACAGTTTAAAATGTTGAATTTTGGTCATTTTTTGGAAATTTTGATGATGTTACCCCTTATTAAAATATCAAATTTCGATGGTCCCAATTTCCCCTCATAAGCTGAAGTATTTCCCTCATAACTAAGCCAAAACTGGTCCAAATATGGAATGGCATAGCTCGTTGAGTTTCTAATTTGATTCTATGTAGATTTTAGGCCTGCAGATTCAAAACAGGAAAAGTAAATTTTTGGCCATTTTTTGCAAATTTTGATGATGGTACCCCTTATCAAAAATGCAAAAATTGAAAAAAAATAGATTTCATCCAATCAGCCTCAAATTTTTAGGGTTATTAGTACTGGTCGTTAGCTTCACAAAACAGTAGTTCTTTTAGCTGTACGTCTTGTTTTGGCCAATTTATAGCTTAAAATCCGATAAAAAATAGCCAAGATTTGGTTAAAAATCTTTATCCTGATTTTACGCCTAAAATTTCAATATCTTGTCAGGAGCAATGTCAAATATGGAATTTAACACATCGTTCAGCTCGTAATTTAAATTCTAGTAGAACTGCCTTTCAGCCTTGAAATGTAAAATTTTGGCCATTTTTCGCAAAAATTGATGATTGTACCCCTTATCAAAAATGCCAAATTCGGTTTACCTTTGTATTCCCCTCAAAGGTCTAGTATTTTTCCCATAGCAAACCCAATAATGGTCCAAATTTGGAAGTTAATAGCTCGTTGATCTTGTTTTCTAATTCCCATTCAAACTGCATTCACAGTTTAAAATGTTACATTTTGGTAATTTTTTGCAAATTTGGATGATGTTACCCCTTATTAAAATATCAAATTTCGATGGTCCCAATTTCCCCTCATAAGCTGAAGTATTTTTCTCATAACTAAGCCAAAACTGGTCCAAATATGGAATGGCATAGCTCGTTGAGTTTCTAATTTGATTCTATGTAGATTTTAGGCCTGCAGATTCAAAACAGGAAAAGTAAAATTTTGGTCATTTTTTGCAAATTTTGATGATGGTACCCCTTAGCAAAAATGCAAAAATTGACAAAAAATGAATTTCTTCCAATCAATCCCAAATTTTTAGGGTTATTAGTACTGGTCGTTAGCTTCACAAAAAAGTCGTCCTTTTAGCTGTATGTCGTGGTTTTGCCAATTTATAGCTTCAAAACCGATAAAAAATCGCCAGGATTTGGTTAAAAATCTTTATCCTGTCAAAATGTCAAAAATGGTTCAAATATGGAATGTAACACATCGCTCAGTTCGTAATTTAAATTCTAGTAAAACTGCAATCCAGCGTTGAAAAATAAATTTTTGGTCATTTTAAGGAAAAATTGATGAAAAATTCTTAAAATGGGTCATAATTTGATTTTTCAAATACAGCAGGAAACTTATATGGGTCGTACTTTTGGGTCATTAGCTGCTCAAAACTGTCTTTACTTTAGCAGTACGTCTTCTGTTTACCATTTTATAGAAGAACCGAACTTAAGAACCGAAAAGAAATATTGCATATATTGGCTAAAACATTTTTTCTGATATTTCGCGTTTAAAAAGACAGTTTTTAGATCAGAACAGGGCTAAAAATGATCAAATTATCGAGTATATTATCTCCTAGACCTCGTTATTTAATTCCTAATGGATTGCTTTGGTAATTTCTTTCAAAAAATCATTATGGTTCCCCATATCAAAAAGTAAAATGTTTAATTTTTAATCTTTATTATTTTGGCCAAGATTCAGTACAAAAATACTTTGAAAAATAACAAATTTGTATCTAAATCTAAATCTAGTATATATATATATATAAACACCCATCTTAACGATAAAATCCCTCCCTTCAAACGAACGAATCTTTTTAATCCAAAGAAAGTCCCAGAAATATGAATTTCCCCCACCAAAGTCTGATTGAGCCCCCTACGCTTTAAGCCGCCCCACTTGGCAAAATGTCCCCAGCCATAATTTTGTAGTTGGCCAAGTTTTTGCGACTTTTATACGGCGGGTCTTTTGTTGACCGTTTGGTCTGCTATGGTCGTGGTTGCGGGCTGCTGGCTGCTGGCTGCTGGTTGCTGGCTCTTACGTGTAATGTTCTCTCATGTTGCAAAACGATTTGTTGGAGCCAAGATTTATGAACTTGTTCCCACTGACAGCCGACAGTGGTTAAGGTAACACACATGGCTCAATATGTGTGTGTGTGTGTGTGTGCGTGAACATGCCGCCTAATTAGAAGATTTTAATTATCTGTTTTCAATCAGCTTCCATTGAGATAATGATAATGCTGCCGCAGCCTTGTTCTTGTTCGTATTTCGCATCTCAGCCTCCGTTTTTGTTTCTTTTTTTTTAAAATTTTTTTTTTTTGGTACTACCTTGTGGCCGTTTAAGCCAAAATGCTGTTGACATTTCGCTGCGGCAGTGGCTGAGGCATGGGGCAGCAGCTTGGCCAGAAACAGTATCGGAAATTTGGCAAGGTGTTGTTGGTATCGCCGGCCACGCGCTTGCTGCCAATAAGCGCTGTCAAAGTGTCCTAAATCGATTAGAATTGATTTTGAAAGGAGCCCGCTGACAGGCCAGAAACGGACCCGCGAGCAATCATCCTCGTTCCGATACAATGGCGCGGATTACAGTTGTCTGTCGTGTTCTATGGACTTGCCACTCCCATTCCATTGCCAATTCACGACCATCGTCCCAT